TAAAAAAACTACCTTATCTCTAATAAAAAAAATATATATGAAGAAAATAATAAATTAATAACAAATAAAATTAATAAAAAGTAGATAAAAATAGAAAGAAACTAATATTAGTAAATAAAAATAAATATTAATAAATAAAAAATATTAAAATTTTTTCTTTATGAAACAAATATTGTTTGCTTAAGCATATTATTATGAAGGTATACCTTCGAAATAAATAAATTTCTTTGCCATGCTGAATAAGATTTCTATCAATGGCATTTAATTTTGACAGCAGAAAATTAAAGTTTCGTTACAAAACTCCAAATTCAGCTAGCTGAATTGGAAAAAAAATTCTTTAACTGACATTTTAACATTAGGAAATTTAAAATTTTTTATAAATAGCTATATTCAGCTTAGTTGAATTGCAAATTTTGAAAGAAAAAACTGTATGCAATTTAGCTGTAAGGCCAATCTTTATGATAAATCTATACTCAGCTTAGCAGAATTACACATTTCTCATGGGAGAAACAATTTTACAATATTAAATGAAAAATTATTGAGTAAAAAATAAATTCAACTTTGTTGAACAAAGCATGACCAGCTGAATTGCAATTTTATCGCAGGAAACACATATTCGACTATGCAAACTTCACAATACATCAATAAATCATCTATTCAGCTTAGCTGAATTGCAGTTATACTAAAGAGAATAGCATTACAATAAATTTTTTATATTTCTAACAATTTTATTTTTATTCAGCTGAGCTGAATAACATAATTTTTGTATAAAAGCAAGTTTTTTAAAAAGAACTTGATATATTATCGCAAAAATATTAAATAAAATTAGCTGAATTATAAATAAATCAAATTTATCAAAGCTGAATTTAATTTTAATTTAGCTGAATTGCAGTTATACTAAAGGGAATAGCATTACAAAAATGTTTTTTATTTCTATCAATTTTATTTTAATTCAGCTGAGCTGAATAACACAATTTTTGCATAAAAGCAAGTTTTTTTAACAAGAACTTGATATATTATCGCAAAAATATTAAATAAAATTAGCTGAATTATAAATAAATCAAATTTAACAAAGCAGAATTTGATTTTTTATAGTAAAATTTCCATATCTCTTAGCTGAATAGAGCTTTCGTTTGAAAATTCTCAATTCAGCTTGGCTGAATAGTGTTTTCTGTTGAAAATCTCCAATTAAGCTTGGCGGAAAAGACTTCGATATTGATAATCCGTTTTTCTACTTGACTAAATATTGGTTTCCATGGACATTTTCCAATTCAGCTTAGCTGAATATGGCTTATTATATGTAATCTGTTATTAGAATTAGCTGAATAAGTTTTTCTACTGATATTTTTCCATTCTGTTTTGCTGAATTGGATTTTTTGTTGGCAAATCTTCTATTTAGCTCAGCTTAATAGGTATTTCTTTAAGGAAATCTTCAATTCAGCTAAGCTGAATTTAATTTGCTGTTAAAAAGTTTATATTTATCTTAGCTGAATAGGGTTTTTGCAATAAAAAATTTTAATTTTTGCAATTCAGCTAAGCTGATTTTTATTTTTTGTTTGACATTTTATATTTATCTTAGCTGAATAGGGTTTTTGCAAAAAATTAAAAAAAAAAAATTAATTATTTTTATTTTTTTTTCTTTAATTAAAATATATATATATAGTATTTTTTTTTCAAAAACTATTTTCTTTAGTAAATAATCCACAACATTTTAATTCTGTTGTGTTTCCCCCTTTTTTTAATTCACATTTCAAATCAAAACAATCTGGCAACCTCATTATCTCCGTTGCCCATTTTCATTTCATCACAGATAATTGCGTCTCTTTCATTGCCTCTCTCTCTCTCTATTGTGATTTTCTGCATTGTATGCGAAATTAAATTTATTTCAGTTTTTTCTCTTCTCTCCCTCTCCCTTTTCGTTGCCATTCGTCATGAAACGACCAACCAACCGACAACCGGGTGGTAGTGGTGGTTGGGTACAGTTTTCTGCGTAGCAAATTATCCTTATGATGTTTCTTTTGTCTTGTATAGATACACACACATATATACAATATATACGACTGTATATATGTATATATTTTGTTTGTGTTTATGTGTCTCTACGTCTGTCGCGTAACGTATACACGAACGTTATTTATACATTTGTTCCTCTTTGATCCTTCTTTTTGGTCGTTGTTGTTTGTTTTTGTTTTGCTAAAATGGCACACACACGCACGCATACGCCTCTGTCGCCTCTTGGCTTTGTTGTGTTGTGATGTGTGCGTGTGTGTGAGAGGGGAGCCATTTTAACGGTTATAGTAGTAAACTTTAATGCTCTCCATTTGATTTTGTAATGAAACTTTTTTTTCTGTTCTTATAATACTTTCTTCTACGTCTTTGATGATTTATTACTTTTTGTGTCGTGCTTCAGCATGATTCATGGCCTTATAGCTGGCAGCAGCAACATATATCCTTTTTGATTTCCTTTAAGACATTTTTAGACATTCAAAAGGAAAGGAGTATTCACTCGCCAAGATTTATGTTTGTATGGAGGCGGTGTTTCATATTTTTATGTTTGGGGGCGAAGAAAAGGAATGGGAATTCTGATTAGATGCAGATGAGTCATACCGATAATTTTCAACTCGGCAAAATTATGCTCTACTAAATATGATTCTTTTTTTTCTAAATTCCTAGTTTCCTTTTTCAAATATTGCTCTTGAGTCTGTCAGACAGACAGCCATACCGAACATTTGTTTAAGCCTCTCAACAAAATCGACCTTACATCTGTTCACCTTAGTCCTTCCTCGTCGTCCCTTCTAATCCCATTTTATGAATGTGTAGCCATTATTCTTGTTGTTGTGTTTTTACAAGCCGCCACAGCAACAACAACGAGAACAATCATGCCATTTGTGTTTGTCTAGCCTAATCCACTGACTACGATCGATGGCAGCAGTTGCCTGTCGTCTATTGTTTCAGCGGAAAAAAGGTCGCCATTAATGAGTAACAGCTGCCGCTGCTGTTCGGCTCTTACGAACAGGAGGCGTATAAATTCAACTAAGAAGGAACAGCTGCATTTCGAAAAAAAATTACATGCTGTGTAAAATGTTTCAAAAAAATAAAGAACGAAAAATTAGATAATGTCTGTAATAATTTTTAAGAACTCGATTTGAAACGGAAGTCAAACTACCTGATACACAAGACATTGGGTCTTCATTCAGCTGGCTGAATTGCATTTTTTCTTCTTGAATTACAAAATTTCTTAAAGAAAAATATCTGCGAATTAAAGATTTCCCATGGGAACCTCTATACAGCTAAGCTGAATTGAAGATTTCCACACAAAACATCTATTAAGCTGAAATAAATTGAAGATTTAGTATAGGAAACTCTATTCAGCATAAAGGAATTAAAGATTTCGCAAAAGAACCCCTATTCAGCTACGTGAAATTGAAGATTTTGTAATAGAATACAAATTCAGCATAGCTTGAAATTGAAGATTTTCAAATGAAATTACAATTCAGCTAAGTTAAATTGAATATTTCCCATCAAAACCTCTATTCATCTTTGCTGAATTGAAAAATTTTAATTGAAAATAATATTCAGCTAAGCTGAATTAAATATTTCCACGCAAAACATCTATTCAGCTGAGATAAATTGAATATTTTGCATAGGAAACCCTATTCAGCTACGTAAAAATGAAGATTTCGTAATAAAATACCAATTCAGCTTAGCTTAGATTTTCAAGTGAAAGCACAATTCAGCAACGTGAAATTGAAGATTTTCAATCGAAACCTCTTTTCAGCTTAGCTGAATTGAAATTTTCAATTGAAAATGCTATTCAGCTGAGCTGAATTGATTTTTAAGTTGAAATCGCTATTCAGCTAAGTTAAATTGAAGATTTCGTAGGGAAATTGTAATTTACCTTAGCTGAATTAAACATTTTTCCAAAAAATGTCTATTCAGCCATGCTAAATTGAAGATTTCATACAGGAAAATTTATTCTGCTAAGCCTAATTAAAGATTTATATCAGAAAACCCTATTCAGCTAAGCAGAATTGAAGATTACTTTTAGAAAACGTAATTCAGCTGAGCAAAATTGAAGGTTTCTTTCAGAAAACGTAATTCAGCTAAGCAAAATTAAATATTTCTTTAAGAAAACTCAATTCAGCTAAGCAGAATTGAAGATTTCATTCAGAAAATACAATTCAGCTGAGCAGAATTGAAGATTTCTTTCAGAAAACACTATTCAGCTAAACAGAATTGAAGATTTCTTTAAGAAAACCCAATTCAGCTAAGCAGAATGTTAAAATTACTGTCGAAGTCCATATTCAGCTAAGTTAAATTTTAAAATTCTTCATAAATTTATAATTCAGCTAGAAAAAATTAAAAATATTTTAGAGGATTTACGATTTAACTTGGCGATCTTGAAGATTTATAATAAAAATCCATATCCAGCTGGGTTAACTTGCGATTTTCCTTTGCTGAATTGAAGATTTCCTATAGAAATCATAATTCAGCTGAGCGGAATTTAAGATTTTCTATAGAAATCATAATTTAGCTGAGCGGAATTTAAAATTTCCTATAGAAATCATAATTTAGCTGAGCGGAATTTAAAATTTCCTATAGAAATCATAATTCAGCTGAGCGGAATTATAGATTTCCTATGGAAACCTCTATTCAGCTGAGCGGAATTATAGATTTCCTTTCGAAAATTCTATTCAGCTAAGCAGAATTACAAAAATTCTTATAAATTTTCCTTAAACAATAAAAATAAATACATTTCGTTTGGTCTCTCTATCTGCTCTCTCGCAAACAAAGGTCACAAAAAAAAGAGAAACACCTGTAAACAACTGTTAAGAATTTCCCCTGCACTCTCTCTACATGATGACATTTCTTTCTCTTTCGATTACAGATTTATCGATAAATAACTAATTAAATGTATTCCTTACAATAAAAAAAGGAAACACCGCGGATACAACAATATCATATTTTACAACAACAACAAAAATAAAAAAATAACAAAAATGTCATCCAACAACTCTTCGGATATACCACGGATAATGGTCTTTAGACCGACATGGGAAGAATTTAAAGATTTTCCCAAATATGTCGCCTACATGGAATCTCAAGGTGCACACAAAGCCGGTTTGGCCAAAGTAGTACCACCACCTGAATGGGTACCACGAAAACAGGGTTACGACGATTTAGATGCATTAAAAATTACAATACCGGCACCCATTTGCCAGGTGGTAACCGGTAAACAGGGTCTATATCAACAGATAAATATACAAAAGAAACCACTGACGGTGAAACAATTTCGCGATTTGGCCAATACAGAACGCTATTGTCCGCCCAAACATTTCGATTATGAAGATTTGGAAAGAAAGTACTGGAAAAATATAACATATGTGGCACCGATATATGGGGCAGATGTTAGTGGGAGTATAACAGATCCAGATCAAGATGTAAGTTGAAGGGCGTGTGGGAACCCTGAAATATAGGAAATAGAGGGGGAGGGGCAGCTGGGAGTGGGATTTTGAGGCAAAAATCGTGGCTGAATTGCAGATTTCCTTTGGAAATTGTAATTCAGCTGAGCTGAATTGTTGATTTCTTATGGAAATTGTAATTCAGCTAAGCTGAATTCTTGATTTCTTAGAGAAATTGCAATTCAGCTAAGCTGAATTAAGGATTTCCTTTGGATATTGTAATTCAGCTAGGCTGAATTTTAGATTTCCTTTCGAAATTGTAATTTAGCTAAGCTGAATTGTTGATTTTTTATGGAAATTGAAATTCAGCTAGGCTGAATTGTAGATTTCCTTTGGAAATTGTAATTCAGCTAGGCTGAATTGTAGATTTCCTTTGGAAATTGTAATTCAGCTAAGCTGAATTGTAGATTTCCTTTGGAAATTGTAATTCAGTTAAGCTGAATTGTTGATGTCTTATGGAAATTGCAATTCAGCTAGACTGTAATGTAGATTTCTTTTGGAAATTGTAATTCAGCTAGGCTGAATTGTAGATTTCCTTTCGAAATTGCAATTCAGCTTAGCTGAATTGTTTATTTCCTTTGGAAATTGTAATTCAGCTAAGCTGAATTGTAGATTTACTATTGAAATTGTAATTTAACTTAACTGAATAGCGAACTTCTTATGGAAATTGCAATTCAGCTAGGCTGAATAGCAAATTTCTTAGGGAAATTGTAATTCAGGCAAGCCCAATTTTATACTTCATTTGGAAATTGTAATTAAACTGAGCAGAATTGAAGATTTCATATGGAAATTATAATTCAGCTAAGCTGAATTGTAGATTTCTAATTGAAATTGTAATTTAGCTAAGTCAAATTTCAAATTCCATGCCAAAATCCTAATTCAGCTGAGCTGAATTAAAGATTTCCCTTGAAAATTCTATTTCAGTTATGCTAAATTGCGGTTTTCATTACGAAAATATAATTAAGCTAAGCATCAGCAATGTTGAATTGCATATTTCCCATGGTAAACATCAGTCAGCTAATTCCTTTCCCAGCTGATACGCTCTCTCCCTCTAGTCATAGTTTATTGTGAATGATTTTCTCATGTCTTTACTCTCTTATCGTAACCCAGAGTTGGAACATAAATCGCTTGGGCACCATACTCGACTATGTCAACGAAGATTATGGCATACAAATCGATGGTGTTAACACGGCCTATTTATATTTTGGCATGTGGAAGACCACATTTGCCTGGCACACTGAAGATATGGATTTATATTCCATTAATTATTTGCACTTTGGTGCCCCAAAAACCTGGTATGCCGTACCACCCGAATACGGAAGGAAATTGGAAAAGGTCGCCAATCAATATTTCCCAGCCAGTTATAAAAATTGTAATGCCTATTTGAGGCATAAAATGACACTGATAAGTCCACAGATTTTAAAACAGCATGATGTACCGGTTAATAAGGTGAGAAAAAGGGAGTGAATTCGATTTTGAGGTTAGATTTAATTTCCGACTCCCCTTTTAGATAACCCAAGAGAAGGGTGAAATAATGATAACATTTCCATTTGGCTATCATGCTGGGTTTAATCATGGCTTCAATTGTGCCGAATCAACAAATTTTGCCATGGAACGATGGATTGAATATGGCAAAAGGGCCGTACAGTGTACCTGCAGGTTAGCAGTTTTGTAGATTTTTTATTTCGAGTTCCATTATTGATGGCCCCGTTTTTTGTCTCGTTAGCAATGATATGGTGAAAATATCCATGGACACCTTTGTCAAACGTTTCCAGCCGGAACGTTATCAGGCCTGGCTGGAGGGCACCGATTATGGTCTACATCCCGAGGATCCACCCAATGCCATTGTGCCGGCACCTCCGCCCAGCCAATTGGATGTAATGTGCAATAAAAAGTATGCTCTCAAAATGTTTGCTCTCTCCACTCTCTCCTAACATGTTTTGTTTGTTTTTCTTTAACCACCAACTGCTTGCGGTACCCCCATTTAGTAATGGGGCTGCCAATGATGTACCTTTCGAAATACTCCAAAGAATGAAAAAACAATGCAACCCCACAAAACAGAAATCGTTTAAGGAACGCAATCCCGATTTGGACTTGGATGAGATACAACAGAATCCAAATATCCCCGATGATATCAAAGCAGTGCTGAAGGAAAGTGTTTTGACCCTGGACGATGAGGAAGAAGAACCGGCCATTGTGGGTGATGAAACGGCTGCAGCTGAGCCTGAACCGGTCGATATTAGTTTACAAAGTCCAGCCCAGTTTAAAACAAAAAAGGAATTATTAGCTTATATAGATGATGGTAGGCGCTCAGCTTCTTTTGTTCTCCACAAGGGCCCACACACTGATTTGACAAACAAATTTTTATTTCTTTCCCCCTCCCCCATTAGACGAAGACAACGACGAAGAGGAACGTAATTTTCAAAAACGTAAAAATAAACGTAAAACTGATGCTGAATATGATGATGATTGGCTGGCCTCGAAGCGGCGTTCGGCAACATCACGTAACAGCAATAAGGGACGCAGTCCCCGTGGCAAAGATAAAGCGAAAGAGGATCGTTCCATATCACCAGCCTCCTCAACATCATCCTCAAATACCGGCGGCACGAGTGTAAAAGCTGGCGGCGGCGGTGGGGGTGGTCGCTGTCGAACAAATTCCAAAAATGAAAAGACCCCTAGCAAATCGCCACGTAAAACTCCGGTCAAACGTAAACGTAATGAGGATAAATCTGGAGCAGCAGCATCCTCCTCAACATCGACAAGTCCAATTAATTTCAATGCCAGCTTTAATGGGGGATGTTTGAAAAACGAAGCAACATCATGTGGTAATGGTATTGCCGGCAGCGGCAGCGGAGGAGGAGTAGGTGAGCGCTTAATAAAAGCCTCCGAATGAGAGAGATTGTGTTGTGTGTGATACAGAAACTGGGAATTTTCCTTAATCTAATACTATGTATATAACAAATAACAACAAATAGAAAGCTCGTTCAAACTCCCAACATTCCAAACTAAAAAATAAGAACAACACCAACTCCATTTCCAGCTCCACAAAAACCACTACAATCACATGATCATTACCCAACAACACCATTTTCCCCCATACTCCATTCCACCTAACCTCTCTTTTTTCCTCCCTGGGCAAGCAATTGATTTATCTGCAATGGAAAAAAATAACGGTGTTGTAATTAAATACCTTTAAATATCAACACATCTTAATTACACCACCAAAAAAAAGCTCCATCATCACCACACCACCACCAAACATCCTCCAAAGATCTTCTTGTTCCGCTACTAATTCTTTCCTCTACCACTCGTTCTCGTGTATGTCTGCTTTTGATTCTCCATAAATTTTAAGCGTTAGCGTTTTTTTTCTAGTGCATTAATGTAGTAGTATATGTTGTTTTTATTTTGTTATTAACAATTTATCTTTAATTTTATTAATATTTTTTATTTAATTTCATTGATTTTAACTTTTATTTATTAATTCAATTGAAATGTCATTGTTTCATGCTTTGGCAATCACTTGGGAATGATAACATAGAAAAGTGTTGCAGACTTTTAGGCGTCTCTGAGAGTAATTGTGATTAATAGCCAATACATGTGAATCATTCACAATAGAAGTGCAGTAAACTAAAAAGTGAAGGCAATATAGCGTAAACGCAACGTAAGAGTGACGTAACGTTTGAAAATCGTTAAAATGGAGATTTACAACAAATGTTTTGATACTTTTGGTATAGAAATAATAGAAAAATTTAAAATATTAAAACAAAAACACAAACATTTTCTAGGAAGCATTCACAATAGTAAAATGCAAAGTAAAATGTAAAGGAAATGCACCGGAAAAACATAACGTAAGAAAGGCGTAACACTTGAAAATCATTAAAAACAAGGTGTTATGGACTTTTGAACATATTTTTGGTATATAAACTAAATTAAAAACAAAAAAAACTAAAAATATAAATACAATTACCCGGGAAGTATTTAAAATGGCAACACGAAATGCACCGAAAACGTAACGTAATAGTAATGTAACACTTCAAAATCATTGAAATGAAGATGGTAATGATTTTTTACCATTATTTTTGTATAGAAGAAACAAATTGAACTTCGTAAATGTTTGAAGAAAATTAATTAGGGGATTTTTTAATAAAATTTAGGGACTTTTAATAAAATTTAAGGAAATATTCAAAACTTTTGAAGAAAATGAAATTTAAAAACAAATAAATTTAGACATTTAAAACAAATCGGAGCTGTTGAATGGAAAAAAATATTTCGATTTAAATTTTTAACATAATTAAAATAAAAAAATATATCTTTATATAAAAATGAGAGGGAAAAGGGATGCTAAGAGGATCAGTTTTCAAATTTTTTTAACTCTAATGTAATACGAAAAGGCGAAACAATATAAAGACGAATCAATAGCAGAAATTTAATAACATGAATCAAATGAATAATCTTTCCTAATTTATTTCCTTTTGCATGCCTTCCCACTATTTCCCCTCCTATTTTTCTGTTACACTTTCTGCTTATTCTATTAATATTATTTATTATTATTTTTTCTTATACACAAACACGCTTGATTAAATTTGTTTTTCTTTATATTTTTATATTTTTATTCTTTTTATTTTTTTCTATTTATTTATTTTTTATAATTTTTTCACCATACTGTAATGTTACTTTTTTTTGTTGGTTTAATATAGAACTCTTTCGAAACGTTATTACAGAAAAATCACAAACGACAATAACATCTAACGACCATCCTTCATTACAATTTATGCAACAGCAACGTAAATTCGAAGGGAAAATACCAAAACTCAGTCAGCAGCAGCAGGCGCCAAAATTAGCAGCAACACCAATGACCGCAATCGAGACACCTGTAACATCTTCTATATCCAATAACAACGCCAACAACATCATTTATAGCAGCAGTACAAACACTGCTCCTCCTCCTCCCACTACAGCGGAATCAACAACAACAATAAATTCTAGTCAAAAAGAAGTTGTTGACAACAACAACACACCATCATCAACTTCTCCTCCAATCACAGCAACAACAATTGTTTACAGCACCAACATGTTACCCGCTGTTACCACACTCAATGGCATTCCATCCCATCATCAGCCACAATATATCACCATGCAAGCACCCACAACAGTGACTCTAAGTCCAACAACCACACATACCACAACTAGTCCTATGGCGGTGACGACCACCAGTACAGATGGTGCTGTCTATCAATATAAATCGGAAATTATATGTGATAGTCAAACGTATCAACAGCAGCAACAGCATCAGCAACATCACACTACTACCTCGCATGAGGTAAATCAACAAGGTAAGCTTGCGAATTAGTTTAATAGAAATTTTTTGAAATTTAGTTTAAAAAAATTTTAAATAAATTTTTGTTGTTATTTTGAAAAAAAAATTTTGTTAGCTTTTTTCGTTTTTTATCTGCAAAACAAAATTACACAATGGAATAGAAATATTTAAATTTTTTTTAAAATTTTTTATGAAAAAAATCCTATAGATTTTTTTCAATATGAGCATATAAAAAGCGTTAATTTTTGCAAAAATTTTTTCCTAACCTCAAATTTTTCAAACTAAACAAATTTCGAAAATTAAACAAAACATCAGTGGAATTGTTAGAATAATTAATGTACAATTCAGTGCAATATGACCACAGAAGTTTTTCTCTATAAAACCCGTTAATTTTTGCTAAAATTTTTACTAACCTCAAATTTTTCGAACGTAAAAAAATCTTGAAAATAAAACAAAAAATCACTGGAGTTGTTAAAATAATTAATGTTCAATTCACAACAATATTTTTCTATCAAAATTTTCTAACCTCACTTTTTTAAATGACCATAGATTTTTTCTTCAGAACAATATCAACATAGATTTTTTTCTCTATGAAAACCTAAAATTTTTGCAAAATTTTTTTTCTAACCTTAAAATTTTCAAACGTAAAAAAATTTGTAAAATTAATCAAAAAATCAGTGGAATTGTTAGAATAATTAATGTACAATTCAGAACAATATGAACATAGATTTTTTTCTCTATAAAAACGTTAATTTTTGCAAAAAAAAATTTCTAACCTCACTTTTTTTAAACAAAAAAATTTGGAAAATTAAACAAAAAATCGGTGAAATTGTTAGATTAACTAATGTACAATTCAGTACAATATTCATATAGATTTTTTTTCTAACCTCACTTTTTTCTCTCGAAAAAAATCTGCATAATTTTATAAAAATTCAGTGAAAAATTAAAGAATAATTAATGTACAATTCGATACAACACTCCTATATTTTTTTATTTTTAAAACTGTTGATTTTTTGATAAAATTTTTCTAACCCCACTTTTTTTAAACGAAAAAAATCTAGGAAATTTTATAAAAATTCAGTGGAAAATTAAAGAATAATTAATTTACAATTCAATACAATACTACTATATGTTTTTTTATTTTTAAAAAAAATTTTCTAACCTCACTTTCGAAACCAAAAAAAATGGAAAATTAAAAAAAAAAAAATATTTAGTTTCCATTGTGTAATTTTTGTCAGTATGTGAAATGATTGTTTTTGTATTTTCTATTTCTAATTAAAAATTACATTTGTTGTTGGTGTTTTTATAAAAAAAATATAAATTTTTATTTAAATTTTTTGAAATCATGCATCATAACCCATTGTTAATTAATAAAAATACTAACATTTTGTTTTGTGTACTAACTTTAAATTTTTTTTTATTTATTATTTTTTTTTAATTAATTTTTTGAATTATTTTTTTTTTATAATTTTTACTAATACTTGCCTAATTGTTTTTTTAATAATACGCGATCCAATCAAACAAAAACATTTAATACAACACCATGTAAATTCCCTTCTTAATATTCGATTTCTTACAAAATCACAACTCAAACCCCAAAGTCATCCCAATCAAATTTAATTGAATACAGAAAATAACCTCTCAAAAAAGCATTTGCTTTGACATCTAAAAAATTCTTATTAAAATTTTCTCCTCCTTTTCCGCCAAAAAATTAAATTGACCTCCAAATCGTTTTTCAACCTAACCTAACATATTTTTCGAATTTATGTGTAACTATGTCCTGTTTAATTTGTGTTGTTTTACGTTAACCCAACAATCATACACCCACCCCCACACCACTCCACCACACCACAACCACCCATTCACTCATATATCATCAATATAAACATTTTTCATTTATTATTTTTGTTTTCTTAATTTTTATTTTCCACAAAAAAAATAGATGTGATTTTACTTTACAAACAAAAACACAATATAATGAGTTAAGCCCAAAAAGCAAAGCAGCCCCCCGGAGAATTATAAGAAAGTTTATTTGATAAATTCCGTCAAACAAAATCAATCAAGAAAAAAATATCAAAACAGTAATTGGAGAAATTAATTATCCAATTATGTTGTATTATGATTTTTTTAAATAAAATGCACAAAATTCTTTTACTGTTAAAGACAAAGAATAGGAAATAAATTTCTCCCCTCTCTGAAAAAAAAACTCTACATCAATCAATCACACAAAAATATATCATGGGAGTTGTAAAATATATTTATTATATATTTAAAGAAAAAAAAACAGGCAATTGTTTTTATTTATTTCTATATTTTTTATTATATATTTTTTCATTTTTTATTTATTTCTTTATTTTGTAGTTTATCTAACAAAATTGTACGTATTTATTTATTTTTTAATATTATTTCAAACAAAAAATAATTTTTATTTATTAAAAACTATATAAACAATTCAATTTTTATATAAATTTTTAATATTTTGTAGTAATTATTTTCATTTTGTAGCCATTGAATTATTTAGATCATCAAAGAAGTAGCATTCTTGGGCTATTCATTCACAGTGAATGCCCTACTTGTCATACGCTCAAAATAAGGCATAATGCCACACGTCCTTATTAAGGCATATCCATTATCACAGATATTTTACATTAAATTAAAGATAAAATAAGTTAAAGATGAAGGGGAAGAGGAAGAGGAGGGAGGGGGAGAGACATTTTCTGCTCTTTTTCCCTTCTCTCCCCTCTTCCACCACCATTTCTTTGAATAAAACTTCCTTACAAAAGCATCACAATGCCGTTGTGTGATAGCTTATTTGAAGTAACAAAAAAGTGAGCATACTTTTAGGCGTTTGCAAAGGCAAATGACAGTTGACATCAAATTAACGCCTGTGATCTATGCTTGTTCTTCTTTTTTGATCTAAATAACAGATGACAAGGTTAATTGTTATTATTTTCTGTAATTTGTAGTTATTTTTTAATTAAAATAAATTGTAAAACCCACAAAAGTGAAAAACCCAACATGTAAGCAAAACAAGAAACAACAACAGCTGTTTTTGGATGAAAAACATCACTTTGTAGGTAAATTAGTGTTATTACATTTTTTCTTTCTTTTTTATTTAATTTATTTTTTTCTTTAATTTAGAAAAACAACAACAAAAAACACCTACAAAACCACCAGTATTTAGAAATGATTTCCTTGCTCTTTTTTTCAAATTATTTTTCCAATATTAATTTGTGTTTTATTCATTCTTTTTTCCTCCTTGGTTTCTTTTGTGTATCGCAAACCAACCAACAAAACAAAATGTGAACCGAAAAAAAACATTTTTTAACAATTTATTTTGCAAACAAAACAAAAAAAAAAACACATTTAATTTTTGAAAATAAACGAATTTTTAAAAATTAAGACAATGTGGTCACCACTATTAGTTCATCTCCCCTGCTGCTTACAACGGCCGCCCCAACAACCACCACAACAGCAACGTGCATTTCATCATCATCTGCGTCCACGGCCACGTCCACACCACCACCGCAACAAACTGCTGCAACCATAACCAGTAACATCAATGAATTGCCAGGGTCGGAGGCACATGCACCACAATATCATTACATTACCACCACTGCCCCAGGACCGGGTTCCAACGGCTCGGCCACACCCACCACCACCATTGTCTATGAACCCTATGAGGCGGAGGCGGCCAGCTCGGAGGTAGGTGGCAGCACCATTATTAAATTTGAGGGTGGTGAATATGAGGTCATCAAAAGTGAAATGAATGATCAGCAGCAACAACACCAACAGCAACATCATCAACAACAACACCAACAGCACCAGGAAGTTATTGTTAAATATGAAGATCAAAGTTTAGATGATGATAGCTTTGAGGAATTCCAAAGTATTTCCTCACCACAAAAGGATCAACAAAATGGTGGTGGTGTTACCTATCAAACCATCACCCACCATGACAAGGAAAACAATCAAATTATTACCGAGACCATTGTTATACCAGCCTCCGGAAATAATAACAACAACAATAATAATAACAATAACAACAACAATAATACCAACAATCCTGTGGTCCTATCCACCAGTAAACAAAAACGTAAACGTAAAACCCGTTCCGTTTGTGCCGATGAACAGGGTGAATACTTGGAGAAAATGTCCGTACGCGGCCTGGACATACAGCGGTATGAGCATATCATCGATGGCGTCTCCTATTGTTTGGTCTGTGCCAAAAATGATGTCTATAAAACCTTCAAAAATAAATACAGTTTTCAACGGCATGCCTATCTATTCCACGAAGGTGATAATCGTAAGATTTTCGCCTGTCCCATATGCAATAAGGAATTTTCGCGACCCGATAAAATGAAAATGCATAAAAAAGATAAACATGGGGATATGGCGGTGCCGGATACACCCAATGGTACACCGATTAAAAATAATTCCGCTGATACACCACCACCGGCGAAAAGGGCCAGAAATAGCACAGCCAAGACACCAAGGGCTCGCAAGCCACGCAATAGTTTGGCCAATACCATTGATATGGCGGTGCCGAGCAAAGATGATGCTGTGAAAAAGCGGTTGGCTCAAATCGACAGCGTCTTGGATGAGGTACAAAATGCCGATTCGAATCATTCGAATGGTGGCAGCGGTGGCGGCGGTATACACATACAAGAAAACACGATTATACAGCCGGCTCAACAACAGCAGAGTAGTAACAACAGCACCACTCATCAGACGCAGCAGCAATTACCTCCCTTGGAATTTAGTGGCATGATTTTGCCGGGTGGAGCCCAATTGGCCTTAGCCAATCCTGGAGCCACCTCCAGCCTAATGCAACCCCAGGCCCAGAGAGTGATTAGTACACAACCTGCTGCTGTCGCTGCACCACAACATCATTCCCCCGGTACTGCCACCCTCATCTATTCCAATCAAATTGATTTGCAACAGGCTCTACTGCAACAACAGCTGCATGGCCAAAGTATTATGATACAAGATCAGGCAGGAAATTTGGTGCCCTTGCAATCGCTGCAAACCCTCGATGGAGGACAGACAATTTACACCACAGCAGCGCCAGCACCAGGTCAACCCCAAGCTAGACAACAGATCATACAGACCCAACCCAATCAAACTCTGCTGACCACCGCCCCACATTCTGCCACAACACACATTAAAGTGGAACCAGCGACACAAAACAATAACAACAACAGCAACACAAGTAATTCCAACAACAACACAACAACTAGTCACAGCAGCAATAACTCGTCGAGTCAACAGCAAACAACCTCGTCGGCGGGTCAACAGCAACAACAAACACATTATGAATTGGAAAATGTTAGCTATCTGTCGTCCACGCCTGCTGCCCACACACCCACAACGGCTACAACATTACCTGAACAGCATGTCATTGGTACGGTACAAAGTTATCAGATCTTGACGCCCGATGGTCTGCAAAGCTATCAGGCGGCCACAAAATTGGAACACAATGAATTGGAATTGAGTCCCTATACAATGGCCACCACCACACCCCACTACACCTTCAGTAGCCACCTGACATCCAGTGCTGATCCATCGTTACACCCGCAACATCAAAACACACACCATCAGACAATACATCATCAACCGGCCACAACGCAACAACATCAACAACAACAGCAGCAACATCATCACCAGCCACACCACCAGACACAATTGCAGCAACAACAACAACATCATACGACAACACATCACCACCACCATCACACCACCACCCTACCCTCATTGGCGGCGCCACATCATCATCAATTTATGGAATTGAAAAATGATTTGCTGATAAAGAGTGCCGATGCCTATTCGCTGGATGCGGCCACCTCAATGTATCATCTACCCTTCTCACCCACGTCCATGATCAATGCTGTGAGTGATGTCAATTCATCCTCACTATTGGAAACCAAAGAAATTAGGTAATATTCAAAGAATCATTTTTTCTTCTTCAAATATTTTTTTTTTTAATACCATCGAACCAAGAGTCTTCGTCGTTTGCCTGCTGCATCGCGTGTGTAAAACGAACAAAGTAGAACATGTTTATGTTTGTTGAGAAAAAAAAAATAAACCGTATTCAGTATGTTGTGCTGCCTGTCAGTTTTTTTTTTTGTACTTTTTTTTCATGTAGTATTAAAATGTTGACACAAGATCATCATCATTTTTTTTTTTGTTTCGATAGAACTGCCCGATTTTGTAGATCGCTGACTTAGATTTTTTTTAATTTTTTGTAATTATTTTTTATTTATTTTGTAATTTTTAATGTATTTAGATTTTAAGTTTGAATATTGTAATTTATTTGTATTCAATTTTGAAATATTTCTTTTGTAATCATTTTGTAAAAAAATGTTTGGAGAACCCCCTCTATCGACATAGCCCCTGGTTAACATAACCTCAAAAATTAAAAAATATTTTTTTTTTATAAAAAATATATATTTTTTTTCTCTAGGACTTCATCTTAAATACATTTTTGGGACATTTTAAAATTATAAATTTAAAATTTTCCAACATTTTAGTCAACATAACCTATTTTTTTTTTTTTTTTTTTTTTGGGAACATAACCTCAAATAATAAATTTATTTATTTTTTTTTTAAATTTATATTCAATATTTTACATAAAAATTAAACTCAACGAAATATTAGAAGGTGCAAAATATATATTTTTTGTAATTTTCCAGAAAAAAAATTCTCCATAACCTCAAAAAAAGTTTTTTTTTTAATAAAAAAATATTATTTTTTTTTTCTGTAGAACTCCATTTCAAATACATTTTGGGACCTTTTTAAATTATAAATATAATTTATTTTAACATATAATTCAACATAACCTAAAATTTTTATGCGAACATAACCTCGAAAATTGTAATGTTTTTTAAATTAAAATCCAATATTTTATGTAGAAATTAAACTCAATGAAATATTGGAAGGTGCCAAATACATATTTTTTGTAATTTTCAAAAAAAAAAAAAAAAATTCTCCATAAGCTCAAAAAAATTTTTTTTTTTTTTGGGTAACATAACCTCAAAAATGAAAATTATTTGTTTTATATAAAAAATATTATTTTTTCTAAGGGACTTCATTTTAAATACATTTTTGGGACCTTCTAAAATTATAAATTTAAAATTTTCAACATTTAATTCAACATAACCTAAAAATTTTTACGAACATAACCTCATTTTTTTTTTTCAAATTAAAATTCAATATTTTATTTAAAAATTAAACTCAACAAAATATTAGAAGGTGCAAAATTTATATATTTTTGTAATTTTCCAGAAAAAAATTCTACATAGCCTCAAAAAAAAAGTTTTTTCGGTCACATAACCTCAATAATTAAAAATTATTTTTTTTTAATACAAAATATTATTTTTTCTCTATAGAAATTCATTTTAAATAAATTTTTGGGACCTTCTAAAATTATAAATTTATAATTTTCAACATTTAAGTCAACATAACCTAAAATTTGTTTACGAACATAACCTCAAAAATTGTAATGTTTTTTTTTTTCAATAAAATTCAATATTTTATGTAGAAAATTAAACCCAACGAAATATTAAAAGGTAAAATAATATATTTTGTTTGTATTTTTTGAGAAAAAATTCTCCATATCCTCAAAAAAAGTTTTTTCGGTCACATAACCTCAAAAATTAAAAAGTATTTTTTAATCCAAAATATTATTTTTTTCCTGTAGAACTTCAATGTATAAATATTTTGCCACCTTCTAAAATTAGAAATTTAAAATTTTCAACATTTAAGCCAACATAACCTCAAAAATTTTTTGGAGCATAACCTAAAATATTAACTTGGATTTATTTTTTTTTTAATTAAAATTCAATATTTTATGTAAAAATTTAACTCAACGAATATTTAAATGTAATTTTCCCGAAAAAAACAATTCTCCATAACCCCAAAAAAAGTTTTTTTGGTCACATAACCTCAAAAATTAAATATTTTTTTTAATAAAAAAATATTATTTTTTTTCTGTAGAACTTGATTTTATAAAAATTTTGCAACCTTCTAAAATTAGAAATTTAAAATTTTCAACATTTAAGCCAACATAACCTCAAAAATTTTTTGGAGCATAACCTAAAATATTAACTTGGATTTATTTTTTTTTAAATAAAATTCAATATTTTATGTAAACATTTAACTCAACGAAATATTTAAAATTTTTAAAGGTTCTCTAAACATTTTTTTATATTTTTTATTATTTTTTTTAATTTTTGTATTTTTTTTTTAATTTAGAAAGTACTGCAAAAAAATCTTGTATATGAAAATCTACTTTTATAACAAAAATTATAAAACTCAAAAGATGTATTGTTATTGTTGCTGCTACTTTACGACTACTATTAGCTCTATTACCTAGTTTTGAAAACTATTTTCCGAACAACATGTTCTCTTCCTTACACTGCAACTCTGAGAAAAAAAAAACAAATTTCCATTTTTAATTTAAGTATTTCATTTATTTTTAAGAATTTTTAATTTTTTTCGATAATTTTGTAAAATTTTGTGCATTTTATTTAAAAAAATAAGATATTTAGATTAAAAATTTTGTACACAAAGTAATTTTGTAATTTGCTTTTTGTGTATCCAATACTTTTTTTCAATGTCCTATTTTTAGTTTTAAAATTTAATTTTTTTTATTATTTAAAAAAATATGATTTTTTAATTTATGTTTTTGTTTTCTTCTTCTTTTTTGTTTCCTTTTTTATTCTCTTTTCATTTGATCCACACACCAAAAATAAAAACAAAAAAATTCACATTACCACCAATCACCCACTCTCATCATCACATAAAAACTCCTCAAAAAAAAAAAATAAATAAAAACAATAACAAAATTAGTTACGATATCAACGAAGCCGTGCTGTTAGCCCTCTAAAATAAGCAAAATGCGACACAAGGTGGAAGAGATATTGTGGGCGCGCAACACCATCTAATTGTTGGTATTAAAGCCTAGCCAAAAATCAATTATATGGCCTCAGTCAGTTTTGACTCTTTACAATTTTTTTTCGATTTTGAAAAAAAAAAATCCGCAAGAGTTTTTTTTTAATAACACACACCTAACCAACAACATCATCATTGTTATCAACGTCATCATCATCACCATCAGCACGATCACCACCACCCAGCCACAAACTCTGGTCATCACCCTAACCTAGCACCTCCATCCAAGGGCTAACTCTACTAATGATGTATTGTTTATACGGGGGTTATAGGCCATAACCTCCAAATGAAAAAGCCCCATATTTACTTTTTATGGCAACCGAAAAAAACATTGTTATTTATGTTAATTTATATAAAACAACATTTATATTTTTTTAATTATTATTAAAATCAAGGTATGTGGATTTTTTGTTTTATTTATTTATTTTTAATTTAATTTAGTTTTATTATTTTTTTTTTAATTATATATTTTTTTTTAATAATTTTAAAACTAAGAATTATAACATTTGTACTAAAACAAACAAAAAAATGTTTTTTTTTACCCTAACCTCAAATTAAACAAATTTCAACCTAACCTCAAAATATAAAATCGCTTGAATTTGGGTATATTTTTTTCTCATTACATGATATTTACATATTTTGTTCATAATTTAACTTTAAATAGAAAAGAAATCATTTTTTCCCAACCTAACCTCAAAATTTTCACAACAAATTTCAACCTAACCTCAAAAATTTTGAAACACAAAAAAATTTCGATCATGATATTTCGATTTATGATATCTTTTATTAATTAATAAATTGCTGGTCTTTTATTAATTAATTTTATAGGTTGTGAGGTTCGGTACGATTTTCTCCCACCGAAACTAACTTCAAAATATTAAAAAAAAAAAAATCCGAAATATCGCTGAAATGTAACATTTTCAAATCATTAATTCTTAATTTAAATGTATCGTGTTTAAAATGTAAGAATTTATGCAAAAAACTTTCCTAATTCCATTTTCTTCACAACCAAACCTAACCCCAAAAAAAATTCTACCTAACCTCAAAAATTTTTAAACCGAAAAATTGCCTGTAATCTTAATTTTTGGAACATTTTATGCTCTAGATATCATAAATTACTGGTATTTTATAGAAAATCCATGAATTTTGTAAGGTTGTGAGGTTAAGTTCGATTTTCCCCCACCAAACCTAACCTCAAAAAATTCAACCTAACCTCAAAAATTATTTTTTTCATTTTTTTTTTAATATTTAAATCATTAAATAAGGGGATTTTAAAAACAAACAAATTTAATGCAAAAAAAGGGATTTTTGTAATTTTTAAAAAAATTTCCTAACCTAACCTCAAAAATGAAATTTGATTTTTTTTTGTGAAATTTTAAAATAAATTATTAATACAAATGTTGTAAATTATTAAAAATTATTATTTGTAATTGTACTTTATCTTTCACATCATCCTCATCAACTTTTTTATATATTTTTATATTTTAATTTATAAAAAAATTATAATTTTTTATTTATAAAAAATTATAATTTTTTAAAATTTTATAATTTTTTTAATTTATAAAAATTATAATTTTTTTATTTATAAAAAAATATATTTTTTTATTTATTTTTTTTTAAATAAAAAAATTAATTTTTATATATTTTTTTTTTAATTTATAAAATATATATTTTTTATTTTTATAAAATTTGTATTTTTTAAAAATATATTTTTTTATTTTTAAAAAATATATTTTTATATATTTAAATATTTTTTTTTTCTTTTTATTTTAAATTTAATTTTTTCTAAATCTAAGTATTAATAAGTACTTGAGACTAGAATATATTTAATTTTTTTAAGAAAAATCCCCAAGCCATTCTATTCTAATCAAATTTTCAATTTTTTTTCTTTCTTTTTTATTCACTGTTTATTTTCATGTTTCGTTTACATTTGTTGTATTATTTGTGTGCGTGTGTTTGTTTATGCGATTGGAAAATTACCACCACCACCACCTTTACCACTACCAACCACCACCAACCCATATTGCTAATTGTATAAAAAAATAAACCATGAAAACCTCATATAGGTTTTTCTAAAAAACACTACACAAGTAACCACCATCACAACAACAACAACACAACCATCTCCAACAACTACAACAACAATCTACAAGATCAACATGACTTTGTAAAGCCTTTAGAAAAGCCTATGCCTAAATATGGATCAGGATCCAAATCATTATCACCATCATCATCATCGACAACAACAACAACCAATACACATAACACAAACACACATATAACTCCAACAAAAACAACAACAACATCATCATTAACATTATTGCCAAATACATCATCATCGACATCATCATCATCAACCCACCATCATTATCCATTATTGCCGGCTAGTAATCCAAAAAGTAGTAGCAACAATAATGATATATCCAAAGATATTACAACAACAACACCATTATCGCCCTCGTCGTCATCATCGTCGGACTTTATTGCCTCATCACCCAACGTTGATGAGGCAAAAATTTTCTATGAAGAAGTTTTGGCCAAACAGGCAAAGGCAGCAGCACAGGCCCGTCTTTACAATGAAAGTAAACGGCAAATCTCATTGGGCTTTGGCGATAAATTTACTGATTTTGTTATGAATGAATTCGTAGGTGTTCCCCCAAGTATATATATTTTTTATTTAATTCTTCATATAAACTAATCATTTCTAAACCTATGAAAAGGGTCCAATCCAAAAGTAACACAATACTAATAAAATCTATTGCATACTTTTAGGCGTAGCAAAACTAATCTTTGTACTAATTAATTTATCATATTTATTTAATAAAATAATAGAACTAAATGTTTAGTTTTAATAAAAAAATAGATTAACAATTAAATTATAAATTATATAAAATAAAAAAAAAGTAAATCAAATAATTGAAAAACTGTATTTAAAAATATATTTTTCCCATTAACTAAGTTTTAGATTTTTTTAAATATCATATATAGTTTGAAAAATATTTTAAAAATGATTCCAGTTTTCAAATTTGGAAAACTTTGCTAAAATATTTTTTTCAACATAACCTCCAAAAATATTTTTTTCATTTAATTTTGTAAATGGTTAGACACAACATGAACCAAAATTTAAACTTTTTAAAATAATTTATATATTATAAAGAATAATTCCAGTTTTCAAATTTAAAAACATTGCTAAAAAAAATTTATTTGAACATAACCCTAAAAAATATTTTTTTTTTACAACATAACCTCAAAAAATATTTCTTATTTATTTATTTGATTTTGTAAATTTATAGACACACCATGGACCAAATTTTAGAATTTTTAAAAAAATATGTATTGTAAAAAATTTGAGTTTCGAATTTAAAAAAAGTTGATAAAAATATTTTTTTTTCAACATAACCTCCAAAAATATTTTTTTTTAATTATTTGATTTTGTTAATGTTTCAATACTAAAATTAGATAACAAGCATTATGTTAAACATATTTACTCTCAATATTACTAGTTTTCCATAAAAAAATTGCTAAAAAAAAATATTTTGTTCAACATAACCTCAAAAAAGAAATAAATAAAATTAGAATTTTTCGATTTTTTGCGTAAGAAGAAAAACCCCAAATAACGCAGACGGATCATATTACCATATATATATATCCCTTCATTATTTCTAGTAAAATGAAGGGAAATCGCTTAAAAAAATATTTTCTTCAACATAACCTCAAAAAATAAAATTCGATTTTTTGCGTAAGAAAAAAAAAACAAAAATCGCAAATTGATTATATTGCTATATTTATTCCTTTCATAATTTCAAGTAAACATTAAAAAAAATGCTTAAAATTAAATTTTTTTTCAACATAACCTCAAAAAAATTTTTTTTTTTTGATTTTTTCAATTTTTATGAAGTGAAAATTTAGTTAGAAAGAATCTATTATTAAATCTTTTTCAATTCATTATTTCAAATAAAAAAAAATCTTTAAAAAATATTTTTTTTCCCAATAACCTCAAAAAAAAAATTTTTTTTTCGATTTTTTAAATATGAAAAATTTAAATAATGAAGAGAGATTCTATTGCAATATTTATTTCCATCATAATTTTCATGTATACATTAAAAGAAATAGTAAAAAATTGAAATATTATTTTTTTCAACATAACCTCAAAAAACTAAAATTGATTTTTTTGATTTTTAATGTATTTAAAGTCATTTAGCTAAGAAAGCATCTGTTACAATATATGTTTGTCTTCGTTACTTGTAATTTTCAGTTAAAAATAATATAAAAATCTTAAAAAATAAAAATATATATATATATATATATATTTTTTTATTTGTTTATGTATTAAAACCGTAAATAATGAAATATTTATCACCATAATTTTTTCTTGTATACATGTTTACAAATATTCTTCTGCATTATTTTTTTTTCTTAAAAAATATCCTTAAAAAAATTGTAATTTTTTTTTCATCATAACCTCAAAATTAAAAAATTGTTCTTTTTTCGATTTTTTGTGTATATAACAATTAAAATATTTATATTTATAAATAAAAATATATAAAATATTTTTAAATATATTTTTAATATTATTTATTTTAAACATAACCTCAAAATAAATTTACCTTAAATATTTATTTAAAATAACTTTAGAATCCTGCTAGCTATATTTGTAATCAATAAATTAAATATTTTATGTCTATTAATATATAAAGTATGGCCTAAGTAGGAAAATTCCCATAAAAAAATATACCTAACCTCAAAAAATATATTTTCATAAAAATTTATGATTGGACCCCACTAGTTTTTTAATACAAAATGTTTATTCTTCTTCTATTACAATTTAATATTTAAAATCAATATCTTACAAATATCTAATAATTGTTTTTTTTTCTTTATCTTCTTTCCCCCTCTCCGCCCCCTTCAATTCAAATCCGAACAGCAATCAGCAACAATCGGCAACAACAACGGCAATAGGCAACGTCATTACAACAAATCCTCTAATGATAAGCAACACCGCCACCAACAACAATATAAAAGTTATCAAAACAATAACATCGGCGGTGGCGGCTGCGGGAGCCACATCATCTCTCAAAATTGCCCATCAAAAATCACCGATTATAATCAACAGCAGCAGCAGCATGAAAAAGATCTCCTCCAGCAACAACAACAATCCTTCTCCTCTTACTACCGCCACCACCAACAACAACAATTGTCACACCACGGGTCCAGTGCAAATTTTATTAACCCGCAAAGTGCTGAGCAACGAAACGCCATCATCATCAACCCAATTACTGGCAACAACGAATCGGCTCAATTCTCAGAGTACGGGAACAACAACAGGAACACAACACCAACAACAACTCCATCAATTCAGCCAATTACCCCACAATACAATAATAACCTCAACTAAACCGGGTGGGGTTATACAAAGGCATTCAACATTGCCCTTGTCCATAGCTTCAACACCCAATGCCACCAGCTCCTCCTACTCCTCCTCCTCTGGTGGTTCCACCATAATCATTAAAAATCAAACGGATCCTCAAGATGATCCCTTTGAGGATGCTAACAACCATGCCACCACCACCACCCCCTTATCTCAAATCATAACCACTGAAGAAATTATTAAAAAATTCCGCATACCCAAGGGTATTGCCTTGACACCGAAATTTGCGCATGATTTGTCGGGAGGTGGTGGAACCACGGAATCACAGAATACAAATTCCATGGCACAAATACCCACCACCCTAATATCCCCTCCCCTGACATCCAATGATGAGGCTGATAATTCCTCCGCCTTGGTGGAATATGTTGAGGAAATCTATGATGATGAAGAAGAGATGGTTAGCGAGGCCGTGGAGGGTACGGTAGAAGAATTGGAGGAATTACAAGAATATCAGGAGCAAGAAATCCTGGAAGATGAGGATATCGCGCAAGATGAGGAAATCAATGGTGGAGGAGGTGTAGTAACTGTGATCCAAGATGATAATGGCTCTGGGGATCAAATAATGCATGAAATTGTTGAAGACCATGATCTCATCGAAGAAGTTGAATCTTCAGATCATCAAGATCTCCTAATGTCTGGGGAGCCAGAGCCAGCAGATGAATTTATGGGTACACCAAATGGTACGGAAAATCGAATTGTTTTAAATTCCATCGCCAATAATTCACATCCGCAACAACAAACCCAAATCATACAAGCTGTACAGCCCAATGGCCAGGTGACCTGCTTCCAATTGCCAGCCAACACAATCCTCCTGCAATCACCTCAGGGTGCCCTGCTGGCCACAACGGCACCACATCCCAGCAAACCGGGTCATCAACAAATTGTGGCCATACAAAGTTTAAGTAATGTGGTGTCGGCGGCGGTACAGCAGCAGCAACAGCAGACACCACCCGCCACCACCACAGTGATTTTGACAGCTGATGGCCAGGCCATACCTTTGGTAAATAATAACTCCAGCAATAGCACCTCCCATACAACGACACACTCCTCGAATACTATAAATCTTGCTCAACATGAATCCCCCTCGCCAAATAGTAGTTCCGCAGCGAGTGCTGAGACCGCAGCAGCAGCATTACTTAAGGCCCAACAACAAATATTGGCGTAGGGTTTACTAAATGGTGGCGGCCAATTTGCACGATTTTTCAGCAATCCCCCGGCGACAATATTGCCCACAACTTATTTCTTTTAAAAATCGGAATTTCCCTTCACCCTTTATTTTTGAAAATTTTGAAAAATAATTTCCCTCCCCCACTTTATTTTTGGTAAACTTTTTTTTGAAAATTTTGAAATCTTTTTTCCAAAAAAAAATATAATTGAAGGAAATTAAAAACAATTACCCTTAATTATATTTTTCCGCCAATTTTTTTTCAATAAAAATTTTATCAAAAAAAATGTCCCCAAAAATCGTCCACCTAAAAATTAGAATTTCCTCTCTAAAATCCAAACAATTTTTTTCTCTTAAAAATTAAAAAAAAAAAACCTTCTCTCCCACCCTCAACAAAAATCGTTCCATTTGGCCGCCAAAAATTAAAAACCCGAAACCACAAAATAGGGCTGTAGACAAACCAAGTTAAATTGTAAAATATTCGAAACTAAAAATAATCAGTTAAACTGATCAAATTTTTATTGTAAAAATAACTCAATATTTATATATAAACCAAAAAAATAACTTACCAAGAAGAAGAAGATAAACCCCTTACAAAAAAGTCTGAGCCTCCCAAAAAATAATTACAAAAAAAGCAAATATTGGTTGCCTGATAACCGACTGGGTGTGTCCCCATACTATACATATGATGATAAACAGGGTGCCAAAAATTGAAAAAAATCCATTTTAAAATATTCAAAAAAATTTTTTGAGGTTATGAAAATTTAAAGTGAGGTTAGATAAAAATTCAAGGATAGGCTTCTTGATAACGTGGCACATAATAATCCTCATTATTTATTTAAAAATTGTAATTGATTTGAAAAACAATCAATTTAAAGATATTGAACAACCTCAAATATTGAACAACCTAACCTTAAAAAGTTACGAAATTTAAAGTGCGGATAGATAAATTCAAAGATAGACGTCTTAAGACTCTGGCACAAAATAGTCCTCATCAAATATAAATAAAAAATATATTTGATTTGAAAAACAAATCAATTTAAAAATATTCAAAAAAAAATTTGAGGTTATAAAAATTTAAAGTGAGGTTAGAAAAAATTCAAGGATAGACTTCTTGATATGGTGGCACATAATAATCCTCATAATTTATTAAAAAATTGTAATTGATTTGAAAAAAAATCCATTTAAAAATATTCAAAAAAATTTTTGAGGTTATGAAAATTTAAAGTGAGGTTAGAAAATGCCAAGGCTAAATTTCTTGAGATCATAATTTATTGAAAAATGCATATTTGATTTAAAAAATCCATTTAAAAATATTGAACAACTTTTTGAGGCTATTAAAAAAAATTAAAGTGAGGTTAAAAATATTAAAAAATGGGGGTTTTTGAGGTTATGAAAATTTAAAATGAGGTTAGAAAAAAATCAAAGCTAAATCTCTTGAGACCGTGATGGACATAATAATCCTCATAATTTATAAAAAATTGTATTGTTTTGAAAAAAAAAAAATCCATTTAAAAATCTTTAACATTTTGAGGTTATAATAAGTATTACAATTTAAAGAGTGAGGTTAGAAAAGTTAAAAAAAAATTAGAAATTTTGTAAAAAATTTAATGCAATTAAGAAACATTTATATTTCTATTTCAAAAAAAAAATGCTAAAAATTGTATTTTTTTCCAAAAATTTTCAACATAACCTCACATTTCAAAAAGAAAAAATTTATTAAAATGTTGAAAATTTTGTAAAAAAAAATTGAATGCAATTAAGTCACATTTATATTTGTGTTTTTTTTTTTTTAATGGTAAAAATTGCATATTTTGCAAAAATTTTCAACAAACCTCACATTTTGAAAAACCAAAAAATATTGAAAATTCGCAAAAAAAATGAATGAAATTTATTATATTTAATTTTGTTGTTGACATACTTTGCTTTTCATATATGTTTCAAACAATTCACTTTTTCTGAATTATTTTTCTAAAAAAAATTGACCATAACCTTACTATTAGCAAAATTTGAAAAAAGAAATGTTATAAAGCTAACTGCATTTAATGCATGCACAAATGTACATGTTCTAAATTTCACCATTTATAACTTGTCTAATTTTGTTTTTTTTTTAAGATTTTTCAACATAACCTCACTTTTTGAAAAACTAAATATTAAAATATATTGAAAAAATGAATGCAATTAAAAGAAATTAATACAGACTTTATATAAATGCATATTGCTACAGATTTCTGTTACAAAAATTGGTCAATTTTGATAATTTTTTCTAAATATTTTCAACATAACCTCAATTTTTAGAAAACATTTTTTTGTTAATTTGAATGCAGCTAAAAGAAATGAATACAGAATGGGTATAAATACATATTGCTCTAGATTTCTGTTACAAAAAATTCTTTAAATTTCCATTTTTTTAAAAAGAATTTCAACATAACCTTTTTTGAAAACATTTTTTTTTTTTTTTGTAAATTTGGATACAACTAAAAGAAATGAATACAGAATGTGTATAAATGTATAATGTTTCTGATTTCTGTTACATAAATTTGTCAAATTTGATAGTTTTTTTCTAAAAAAATATTCACCATAACCTCACTTCTTTTAAAAAAACGTAGAAATATATGAAATAATTTGAAAAAATTGAACGCAATAATAAATGAAATTGAATCTTATTAGCATTATCAGAATAGTAACAAAAATCCTATACAAAAAATATATTTTTTAACCTAGCCTCAAAATTTTCACCCTAACCTCACAAAAAAAATATCTTGAAAATTTCAAAGAAAAGTAGGTGAATTAAAAAAATAAACCGGTTAATAATGACATTCTTAAAATAAAAAAATATTTTATTTGGAAAAAAATTTTCAACCTAACCTCACTTAAAAAAATCCTGAAAATTTGAAAATTTTTTTTTTCGAAATTTCAATTTTGGTAAAAATAGGTAAATTAAAAAAACAGGTTCTTATTAGCATTATCAGAATAATAGCAAAAAATCCTATACAAAAATAATTTTATTTTTTTAACCTAACCTCAACATTTTCACCTTTACCTCACAAAAAATATCTTGAAATTTTCAAAGAAATCTATATAAATTTAAAAAAATAAACCTAATCTCAGTCTCAGAGCAATAAAAAATAGCATTCTCAGAATAATAACAAGAAAAACCTATACAAACATTTTTCTTTTAACCTAACCTCAAAATGTTCACCTTAACCTCACAAAAAAAAATATCTTGAAATTTTCAAAGAAATCTAGCTATAATAAAAGAAATAACCGGTTATTAATGACATTCCCAGAATTAAAACAAAATATATATATATATATATATATTTTTTTTTTTTTTTTTGAAAAAAATTTCAACCTAACCTCAAAATTTTCACCTTAACCTCACAAAAAAAAATATCTTGAAATTTCCAAAAAAAAACTAGGTACATTAAAAAAGTGAAGCAGTATCAGAACAATAAAAATTTTTTTACGCAAAATCTAACCTCACTTAAAAAAAAATTCTTGAAAATTGGAAATTTATTTTTTTTTCGAAATTTCGATTTTTTGGCACCCTCTGTTGTTGCAATAACTAAATGATGAATGATAAAAAATATATACTCAACATGTTGGTGTTATATACCCTATCATGCCTCCAGGCCCCCGTAACAAAAAAAATGTAGTGTGTTATACGAAAAAAAGAAAACTAAATTAGTTTTTTTTTTTAAGAAAAAAATGTTGAAACTTAAAATCGACAAAAACAATCACAAGACAACCCTATTGTTTCTATGTATTTTGTAAAACAAAATAATGATGATCTTCAAAAAAAACAGCAACAAGTCCTTGACAATGATACACAATTTTATTTTCAAAACTCCAGACGATTTTTCTTTTAAAAAAAATCCCCCAAGGCTTGTTAAAAAAATTATAAGAAAAAAAAAAAATACAACTAATTATGTTGTTTATTTCGATATTGTAAAAAAATTTAAAAAAACTATATATTAAAAATTATTTTTTTTAATATTTGATTTATTATATTAAAAAAATAAATATTATTATGTTATTTTTCTTTAGTTAGATTTGAAATTTATATTTATGTAAGCAAAACAAACAAACCAACCAATTAATTCCCCCAATGACCACCCTCCACACAATACTACCTAGAAGATATTTTTTTATTATTAATAATTATAATTATTATTTAAGATATTATTATTATAAAAAAATTAGTTATACAAAAAAAGTAGTTCTTAATTAATCAACATTTTTAATTTTAGCCATTAACAAGAAAAAAAGCAAAACAAACAAACCACCCTCCCCTCCCCTACCACATACATACATATATATATTTAATTATAAATATTATTTAAATTTAAATTTCTTCTTCTTTTTCTGAAATTTATTAAAAAGAAAAAAATGTTATCTTTAGAACATAACTAATTATGTTATATATATAAAATTATTATAACACCTATATGACCTAACCTCTATTTTTTGTTTTCCCCCTATTTTTTTTATTTTCGTTTAATAATTATTTTTGTAATATATAAAATTTATTACTTTTTGTTTATTATTTTTATTTATTTTTTATTAAATGTTTCCTCCTCCCCCTTTTTCCATATTTTTGTCTCTTTTTCTTTATTATAAACCATAAAAATACACAATATTTTTATTGCAAAAAATTATATATAAATAATAATAAAAAACTATAAAATAAAAAAAAATCTTTACTACTTATACTATTTAACTAAGTTATTGCAAAACAAACAAAAAACAAAACCTATTATATATATAAAAAAAAACTAATATATAAACAGAGACAAAAAAAAAATATTATTATTACATACATACACATTAGTATATATCATATTTTACATTATGATATAGTTTTTTTTTTTTTGGAAGATAAAAACAAATGATTATTATTATTGAAAAACAAACCCCCCTATATAAAAAAAGATTTAACATTTAATTATAAACAAAAACAAAAAAATAAAAAAAAAAAATAAAAACAAAAAATATTTTTAATTATAAGAGCAAAACAAACAAACCAACTAACCAACAAGCAACGTATTTCATAAATGAAATTAAAAATAAAGAAAAACAATTAAAAAAAGAAAAAAAATATTGAGTTTTTTAATGGGGTGATGATGGGAGTCCTTATGGGTGAGGTAAAGAGGGAGTCTTTTTAAACAAATTATATAGAAAGCTTATAGAAAAGCTAAATACAGTCTTTACAGATCAACTGATGATTTTGTAGAAAAAAATAAAAAATACGCAGATTTTTTTTTCAAAAACATAACCCCATTTTTTGGTGAAAAATTTTGCAAATTATTGAAAAATTGTATTATACAATTAATTCTAATTTATTTGAATATTCATTCAGTGAAGAAAACTCTTTTTCTCTTCATTATTTTCTGTTTTCCTTAATAAAAAATATATATTTTTCACCATAACCTTAAAATAATAAAATTTATTTTTTTTATTTTTTATAAATGAAAAACGGAAATAGCGACAACAGGTTGTTTTGCAAATATATATTCCCTTCATTATTTCATTTTTACTTCAAAAAATCGTTAAAAATTAATTTTTTTTCAACATAACCTCAAAATAATGAAATTTATTTTTTGGGGTTTTTAGATATGAAAAACGTAAATAATGAAAAGAGATTCTATATTCCATCATTATTTCAAGTATACATTTAAAAAAAATTTAAAAATTTGATCAATTCTTTCAACATAACCTCAACAAAAATAAAATTTGAAATTTTCGACTTTTAATGTATTTAAAGTCATTTAGCGAAGCAAGCATCTATTACAAAACACTTTTTCTCTTCATTATTTCCAGTTTTCCAATAAAAAATCATTAAAAAATATAACATAACATAAAAATATAACAACATAACCTCAAAATAATAAAATTTAATTTTTGGGGTTTTTAAATATGAAAAACGTAAATAGCGAAGAGAGTTTCAATTGCAATACATACTTCCATTATTATTCCAAGGATACTCTTATAAAAATCGTTAAAAAATTTGATTATTTTTTTAACAATAACCTCACCATAACCTCAAAATAATTAAATTTCTATTTTTTTATAAATGAAAAGCGTAAATAAGGAAAAGAGTTTCTATTGCAATATATATTTCCATCATTATTTCATGTATACATTAAAAAATCGTTAAAAATTGATTTCTTTTCAACATAACCTCAAAAAAATAAAATCTATTCTGTTTCCATTTTTTATAAATAAAAACACGTAAATAGCGACTTGAGGTCCTTTTGCAATATATATTGCCATCATTATTTCAAGTATACATTTACAAAATTCGTTAAAAATTTGATTATTTTTTTCAACATAACCTCAAAAAAATAAAAATTGAAATTTTCGATTTTTAATGTATTTAAAGTCATTTAGTGACCCAAGCATCTATTACAGAAATCGTTTTTCTTCATTATTTCCTGTTCTTTTATAAAAAATGAAAAAAATATTTTTTCAGCATAACCTGAAAATAATAACATTTATTTTTTCCCATTTTTTATAAATAAAAAACCTAAATAGCGAAGAGAATTTCAATGTACATTTCCATCATTATTTTATGGTTACTTAAAAAATCGTTAAATTTTTTTTTCACCATAACCTCAAAATAATAAAATTTATTTTTTCGGGGTTTTTAAATAAGAAAAACATAAATAGCGAAGTGCAGTTCTATTGCTATATTTATTTCCATCATTATTTAAAGTTTATTTTTCAACATAACCTCAAAAAAAAATAATATTTATTTTTCTTGGAATTTTGATGTATTAAGACCCTAAATAATAAGAAAGGATGATATTGCAATATTTATCACCATATTTGTTGTATACATTTAAAAAAATTGGTACAAATTTTATTATTATTTTTAAAATAACCTCAAAATAATTAAAAATCAATTTTTTCGTTTTTATTATGTATGTAAAATTTTTACCGATAAAATAAGGCCTCTATACAAAATCTATTTCTCTTCAATATTTTCGTTTTTATTAATAAAAAATAAAAAAAAAATCACCATAACCTCAAAATAATAAAATTTATTTTTTCGGGGTTTTTAAATATGAAAAACGTAAATAACGAAAAGAGGTTTATTGCTATCATTATTTCAAGTATACATTTAAAAAAATCGTCAAAAATTGATTATTTATTTTTTTAATTTTTGCATTTTTCAATTTTTAATACATTTAGTTAAGGAAGCTTTTGTTACAATATATCTTTCTCTTCGTTACTTGTAGTTTTCAATTAAAAAAATCTATAAAAAATATTTTCACCATAACCTCAAAATAATAAAATTTGAATTTTTTGATTTTTTTTATATAAATGAAACTAAATAGTGAAGAATGCCTATTTACACCTCTTAATTATTTCCACTTAAAAAAATTTCACCATAACCGCAAAAAATAATAGGGAAGTCATATAGGCCGACAACAATCGTTAAACATTTTTTTCCAACATAACCTTAAAATAAAAAAAAATATTTTTTTTCGATATTTTTATGTTTATCAAACTATATTTACAATATTATCTTCTTCATTATTTCCTATTTTCTATTTCAAAACATTTCCTTTTTTTGACATAACCTTAAAAATGAAAATTTTCACTTTAAAAAATTAAGTAAAATTCTTCAAAAATTTAATGGAATTGATAGGAATTTACAAAAAAAAATCATGGTTAAGATGGTTTAAATTTAATTTATAATTAATCTGCTAAAGATAACCTATAATAACCAAGGGTATTAATCAGGCATTGCACAATCATGAATCTCGGGTTGATGACATGCTTCGATTACAATCCCATAGATGCAATGGCAATTGGAACAAATGAAATCAAGTAGAACTGCCAATCAAGGTAATCAAGTGAAGTCAACCGAATGCAATTATAGCATTTTTTTATAACAAAAAAATATTTATAGTACATATACAGGCCTTAAAGAGACTTAAAGCGAGTTGGTTGTTTTAAAATCTGACTTAAATCGACAATCGATTATGCCCGACATATATTCTGAATAAATGTAAAAAAAACCGATCTGTGTTAGAATCTGCACAAATTTCGAATTAATCCGAATTTGTTTGATTTTATTCTATAGAAATTTTAAAAGTTTTTAACCGCCTTTGAGTTCCGCAACAGGTCCGATATACTCCTAATCTGAAAATAAATAATTCAATATTTAATAATCAAAATTTTTAAAAAATGTCATTTCATACCAAACCTCTTCTATTTCTTGTTACCGATTATGTTTTCCCACTGATGGTCTTTATTGTTATTTCGGCATGAATGGCTTTGATTTGAAAATTAGGAATAAAATCCAAAAAATCCCTGGTCAAGCAATTTTTAGAAGGTATTTTTTTGGCGCTTCCACTCTTTTAAGTAAATAACAACAACAATGGTATCATTATGTTCTCGGAGAGTTTTTCTTTTCATTTATGTATTAATTTATTCTCATTTATTTATTAATTTCTTTTATTTTATGTATTTCCACACATTTCCAAATAGGGCTCCACAAAGTCGACTCAATCTTCCAAAAATCACCTTTAAAAGTCTACATATATGCATCAGAACAAATCAAATCAAAACGAAGCACAACAAAAACAATTCAAAACAGCTGATCCCAGTTTCCCCCCACTGACACACAAACATACACAGCACCATACTCCCAATTCTCATAAATGCAGGCTCGGGCAGAGAATAACAAATATGCGTTGCGTTGTCGATGTGTGTGTGTGTCAATGTGTTTACCGTTGTTTCAATTGAATGTGCATGAGAGTTTGCTTTTATTTACTTTGGCGAGAGAGTACGCGTGCGGGGTTTTGCCTGATGTGGCATTAATGCTTGACAGCCAGTGTCCCCCCACTGACACACACACACACGGCATCATTCTCTCAATTCTCATTAATGCTTGACAACTAATAATAAAAACAAAAATTCTTTCACAGTCAGTCAGTTGTCAACAGCGTCGCATGCAATTCGGTTAGCCGGTGGAGAAAGAAACAAATAAATAAATAAAGAAAACTGAAATAAATAAATTAATTAAAGAAAAAAAAAATTAAATTGAACTCCAACATGGATCCCATGAAAGTGGAAGTTAAGGAAATTGATAATCTCTTCAAATTGGATCCATATTTAAAGCCATTCGAAAGAGAGATACGTCGTAGGTATGTCAAACACACTAAACAATCAGTAATAACGTACGACGGCGGTATTGCAAAAAACAATGAAATTAAGCGGTATCCCAAAATAATTGTGATAAAAAACAACAAACAAATATGCAAAAATAATTTTGTTATTCAATTAAAAATGAATGCATGAAAAAAAATTTGAAACAAAAAATTGTGTAATAAAAAAATATAGTGCGTTGAAAAGAATTTTTATGCGGGCAATGTCATGTGAAGGTTAAATGCAAACCGAAAAATAAATGGAAGATGAGACAAAAAAATATTTATGAATGAAAATTGTTGGAGTAACCAGTGAAGAAAATGTGCTTTAAAGGAAAATAGTTTTCTTTTTTGCAAAAACTTTCCATTTGAATTTTCCCTTAAAACAAAGTGTGTGTGTGCGAGAAACACCCGGCAAAATTCTTTCTATTCAAGGTCAATTGTTTTTGGTTTGCTGCTTGTTTTGTTTCTATATGTATGTACGTACATGTGCAAAAGCTGTCATCTCACTATCAGCTGAGTGTGTGGCGGGCATTTTTATTCGTTGACATGTGCATCACCTATCGACGTCATTTGTTCTGTTTTTTCTTATTTCAAATTGTTGCCTAATTTATTTTTAATTGCAATTGAAAAAGAATTCATTATCACACCAAAAATAAGAAGAAAAAAAACATTTACCTTGTACTTGCATCAATGTTTTGTTTTTTAATTCTTTTTTCTTAATCAATTGGCCAATTGGCAAAGTTGTTTATAAACAATCAGTGAGAATAGGAGATATACGGTGTATGTGAGAAAAGGAGTGAGAGAGAGAGTGTGCATATGGCATGTCTGCCGGCGCTTTGTTAATGCTTCACAATTGAAATCATTTAATAAATTTGTTATACGTAACGTAAATAATATTTAAAATTATATTTTTAAATAAATGTGATTTTAATTTTTTTTTATTAATGAATTCCAAATAAAATTATTATTTATTAAATATTTCTAAATGAAATGCAATGTTAGCGGCGCCCAAAGCAATTTTGGCGGCACTATATTTCTCCTCTGTCATTACTTTGATTGTGAGAGCGAGAGAGAATACGTTTATCATGTCACCCGGTGTTTTGTTATGCTCCACAAATAAATTCTGCCTGCTTTGCCTTAACGAATTATTAATACGTAATGCAATTTGTATATATAAATGTTATTTTTAAATAAATGTGCTTTTAAATTTTATTTTATAATGTTCTATTTATAGAATTCCCAACAAAAATATAGTTTATTAATATATATTTAAATGAAATGTGTGTGTTTAAAATTTATTTTTTATTTGTTCATTAATTGAATTCCCAACAAATTTATAATTTATTAAATATCTTCTAATGAAAAGCAATTTTGGCGGCATTATATTTCTCCTCTGTGATTACTTTGATTATTATGAGAGCGAGAGGAGAGTACGTTTATAATGTCACCCGGTGTTTTGTTATGCTCCACAAATAAACTGTGCCTGTTTGCTTTAACGAATTATTGATACGTAATGAAATTTGTATATGTAAATGCTATTTTTAAATAAATGTGCTATTTAAATTTTATTGTATAATGTTTTATTAATAGAATTTCCCAACAAAAATATAATTTATTAATGTTTCTTTAAATTAAAAAAAAATGGCGGCAAAACAATGTTGACGGCTCTGTCTGTTTCTCCTCTCTCTCTTTCTCTCTCTCTGTGTTCTTCGCTTTTTTTACAATCTAAATTAATTTTTAGTTACACTTTATTCTGCATAATTAAAATTTTAATAATATATTGTTTTGTTATTGCTTTTTATCTTTTTTAATGTTAAGTGTGCATATTTTTTGTTTCTTTTAATCAAACACTTGCTTAGTGTAGGAGCTGTACCGTGTGTGACAGAGAGAGAGTGAGAGAGAGACAGAGTGTATGGCATGACGACGGCTGTTATATTAATGCACTACGTTTGAATTGTGACAGATTTCCTTTTAAGATTAGTAATCAAGGTAGATATACAAGGTAGCCGCATCGGCGAATTTCTACAACAAACATCGGATGTTGTATTTTGATATGTCAAAAATATTTTGCCAAAACAAACAGATTGGCAAGATTTTTTTACACAAATTCTTGTAGAAAATGTTAATAAAAGTATTGCCAAAAAAGCTCTTCGAAATTCGGAGATTTTCATTCATAATTTTGTTTTTTAATTTTTTGGTTCAACATTACAACAACATTTTTGACATTTATTTGTCCAACAGCTGGGCCGATGCGGCTACCTTATTAAATATACCTTGTTAGTAATAATTAAAATGCTTACATTTTTATTTATATAATATATTTTATTTTTAATAAATAATTATAAAAAATATATAAATTGTTATAGATTTCCAAATGAAGAGCAATGGTGTTGCCTCAGTTTATCTTCCTTAACTTTGATATCGGATTTTTTATGTTTTCGTTTAATTTTTTAGTAATTTATAGCTTTAAGGTTATTGTTTATTAAATATTAAAATAAAAAATACTATATAAAATTAAATTTAAAATCATTTGTTAATGGAATTCTCAAGAAACATATAAGCAACATATTAAGCATCTTTCCGCGAAAAAAAAAAACATTACTGGTGGATCTATGTTTGTTTTCTCTCTCCCTCCCGTTCTTTGATAATTATTTTATTTGATTTTTAGTTAGTTTTTTTGAATGACAAATGTCTAAGTGCTATCTATAAAAATTGCTTAAAATATTTTTTATATTCTTTTATAGATTATTTATTTTTTATTCAATAATTAAAAGTGAATTTCAATTAACAAAATGTATTCATTAAAAAGGCATAGTTGATGGGTCCACACTCACGCCCTTTACCTTGAAGAGCATTTATATAGATTTTTGTTTTGTTTCTTTTTAACAAATAAACTGCTTTACTACACTATATAACTAATGTTTTAACTTTATAAAAAAGTTATATTTCTTATTTTATATATTTCATTTCCTCCAAAAGTAGATTTGTAAACCTCATTCTTTGAAAGGCAATGTGGTTTCTTGTTTTATTTCACTTCTCTGTACTTTCTTGAAATCCAACTATATTAATTTATAATCTGTTACTAATATTATATTTTTTATTTCAATTATTTATTTATGTTTATCAGTTGATTTAAATTTAACTTGAATTTCCATTACAATTAATTTATTAAGCATCTTTCATCGACAAGCTATGATGACGTCTCTATCTTTCCTCTCTCTCTCTCACTCTCCTTTTACTTTGATGATTTTTCTTTTATTTCTGTTAGTTTTTTTTTTAAGTGATAAATCAAATCTTATTGTTAATTTTGATTGTTACTATTTATATTTTTAATAATTTATAGTGTTATTATTTTTCTGTATTATTTTATTAATTAATACAAGTGTTTTTCTCCCACGCAAGGTGTCTAAAGTTCTATAAATATTTCAACTGTCAACAACGGATGTTGCTCAATAAGGGATACATAGGTCGTAAAAGAAACGTTTATTATTTGCCAAGCAGCCAAGCAACATTTTGTAATTTTTTAAATTCAAAGTGGATATTATTTCATTAATTATTTAAAAAGAAAATATTAAACACGTGGGAAATAATTAAAAAAATCAGTGCTTATTTTAAGCCATTTTGCACATATATTAAAACACACGATTATTGGAGTCTTCAAAAAAAACTCTTTTAAACTAATCTAGGTTTATATTAAAATTTTGTTATTTTTATTTTAGAAATGGTGTCCTTCAAGATTGGATTGGTAAAATTGAAAAACTTGAAGGTGGCATGGACACCTTCAGCCAGGGTTACAAATACTATGGCCTACATTTTTTACCCGATAATTCGGTGGTGGCTCGAGAGTGGGCACCCGGTGCCAAGGATGTATATTTAACGGGAGATTTTAGTGAGTATTCTCTTTATCCCAAATCCTTAATATAAATATTAATTCTGTTCTCTTTTTTTCTTTGCAGACAATTGGCAATGGGAGGCCACCCCCTTTAAAAAGCTCGATTTCGGTAAATGGGAATTACATTTGCCCGCAAATGCCGATGGCACACCACCCATAAAGCATTTAAGTGAAATTAAAGTGATTATACGCAATCAGGCGGGACAATTGCTGGATCGATTGTCACCGTGGGCGGTGTATGTTAAACAACCGCCCAAAGAAGCAAATCAGGGTGTTAATTACAAACAATATGTATGGAATCCACCGGCTGCGGAACGTTATCATTGTCAACATCCCAAGGCGAAAAGGCCAAAGTCGTTGCGTATCTATGAATGTCATGTGGGTATTGCCTCGCAGGAACCCTGCATTGGTTCCTATGATAATTTTGCCAACAATATATTGCCACGCATCAAGAAGCAAGGTTATAATGCCATACAAGTTATGGCCATAATGGAACATGCCTATTATGCCAGTTTTGGTTATCAGGTGACTAGCTTCTTTGCGGCCTCAAGTCGTTATGGTACACCGGAACAGTTGAAACGTATGATTGATGTGGCCCATTCACATGGTCTGTATGTTTTGCTTGATGTGGTGCACTCACATGCCAGCAAAAATGTCCAGGATGGTTTGAATCAATTTGATGGTACGAATAGTTGTTATTTCCATGATGGCAGTCGTGGTGAACATGCCCTATGGGATAGTCGTCTGTTCAACTATATGGAATATGAAGTTTTGAGATTTTTGTTATCGAATTTACGGTGGTGGCATGATGAATATAAATTTGATGGTTATAGGTAAGGGGAAATAGGTTTTAATTTTTTTAATAATATTTTTAAATATGTTTTGGTTTGTTTTCCTTAGATTCGATGGCGTCACCTCCATGTTATATCATTCCCGTGGCATTGGCGAGGGCTTTAGTGGGGATTATAATGAATATTTTGGCCTTAATGTGGATACGGATGCTCTCAACTATTTGGCCTTGGCCAATCATATGCTGCATACACAAAATCCGGAATGCATCACAATTGCAGAGGTATTAAGGGATTCACATTTCCATTTCTGAATTGAATTATATCATCCCTTTCTGTTTTCCCCCCAGGATGTCTCTGGCATGCCCACCTTATGCCGTCCCATTGTTGAGGGTGGTATTGGTTTTGATTATCGCCTTGGTATGGCCATACCCGACAAATGGATTGAATTGCTGAAAGAAATACCCGATGACCAGTGGAAAATGGGTGACATTGTACACACCCTGACAAATCGTCGTTGGAAAGAAAACACTGTGGCCTATGCTGAGTCCCATGATCAAGCCTTGGTGGGTGATAAGACCATTGCTTTTTGGCTAATGGACAAGGATATGTATACCCACATGTCGGTACTGTCCGAACCCAATTTGGTTATCGATCGCGGCTTGGCCTTACACAAAATGATACGCCTTATAACTCATGCCTTGGGCGGTGAGGCCTATTTAAATTTTATGGGCAATGAATTTGGCCATCCAGAATGGTTAGATTTCCCCCGGGCCGGTAATAATGATTCCTATCACTATGCTCGCCGTCAATGGAATCTGGTCGATGATGAGCTGCTGAAATATAAATTCCTTAATGAATTTGATCGTGCCATGCATCAACTGGAGGAACGTTTCGGTTGGTTGCATTCCGATCCAGCCTATGTTAGCTGGAAACATGAAGGTGATAAAATAATTGCTTTTGAGCGTGCCGGTTTGGTATTTGTTTTCAATTTCCATCCGACACAAAGTTTCACCGGCTATCGGGTTGGTACCAATTGGGCTGGTACCTATAAAATATGTCTGTCGTCGGACGATGCCGAATTTGGTGGTTTCAATCGGCTGGACAAGGAATGCAGACATGTGACAAGAGGTGAACATTATGGTGGTCGGGAGAACTTTTTCGAAGTATACGCCCCGGCACGTACCGCTGTGGTCTATGAACATATTAGTGATTAGAAGAAAAACAGAACAAATCTTGAAGATCATTGTTTTTCTAAGAAAGTGATATATGAATATAATAAAAATCGAAATTATCAGTTTAGTTTTTATATACAGTAGTTATATATGTATAATGCACACACAATGTTTTCCCTTTTCTTTTTTTGTAGAGAAAATTTATATTTTTTTTAAAATATTAAATAAATGAAAAATTTTATTTTTTTAAAAAAATAAATTTTGTTTTATTTAATGGGGATTTTTTAATATTTAAAATTTTCAATAAAAAAAAAATATTTCAGTATGGAATTAAAATTTAGAATTCCCTCGAACCATTTTTGCAAAATTTATGGAAATCGCTTAAATAGTCGCTGAGTTATTTGCATTTGAATTGATGAACTACACATACGGACTTTGTTTGCGCCTAAAAGTATGCTATCACTTTTCTTTACAAACAGCGAGCAGCCATTATGGAAGAAGAAGAAGAACGGCCTTTGAAAGTAAACCATTTTTGTGTGTTGTTTTTCATTTTCATGTAACAGGTGCCCAGCATCGAACAGTAGCTGTATTTCGGAACATCGTTGACTTCAAATGCAAATAACTCGGAGAATATTTGACCGATTTTTATAAATTTGGTAAAATTGGTTCGGGGAAATTTTAAAGTTTTATTACATATTGCAAATACATAAATTAACTTTTAGTACATTTACATTATACCGGATTTAGTTAACCCACTGGGTTTTAATTGTCAATTCCTTTACCTATTTGTCAAATAAATCCTCATAAAGAAGGTTAACCCTGCAAAACGTTATAGTGTACATGTCGTTTTATGTTAAATAGGAGAAAATTGACGTTATAACTTAGCTGGCTTGTGACAGAACTTTCGTTCCATAAGCCGAGCTTAGAAAAGATTTCCGGGCGCGTTGGTCTTTTGCGCAGTTTTTCCAATTTGAAAGACCATTTTCGGCGATGTTGTCTTCGACTTGATCTTTCCAACATATTCTTGGTCTTCCCCTTCTGCGTGAACCATCAGCTGGTTCGCTTTTATATGCCTTCTGGGCTGGGGTATCTTCATCCATTCTTACAACAAGACCTAGCCAACGTAGTCGCTGCAGCTCAATACGTCTAACAATGTCGATGTCCGAGAATAGCTGGTACAACTCATGGTTCATTCGACGGCGATATTCACCGTCAACGCAGATCAGCCCATAGATCTTTCGGAGAATTTTTCTCTCAATGTCGATGTCTGAGAATTGCTGGTACAAGTCATGGTTCATTCGACGGCGATATTCACCGTCAACGCAGATCGGCCTGCCCATAGATTTTTCGGAGAATTTTTCTCTCAAACACTCCAAGAGCTGCCTCGTCTGCTTGCGCAATAAACCATGCTTCAGATCCATATAACAGCACGGGTTGTTGTTGTTGTAGCAGCCCTATTGCTGATACACAATGGGCTGAGTTGACAGACGTTGGCCGATTATGACTCGGGTCGTTTCGGATCGTAGAACCCTCTGTCGTGGAAACGAACAGCACGGGTAGTATCAGCGTCTTGTAGAGTATGTGTTTGGTCAGGCGGGATGTGGCCTTGCTTTTGATGTTTGTTTCCTCAGACCATAGTAGCATCGGTTGGCCATCACTATCCTTCTCCGAATTTCAAAACTGATGTCATTCGTTTTTTTATGGCGGCACCAAGGTATATACAATCTTTGACTACCACGAAGCTATAGTTCTCAAGTTCCACAGTTGGTCCGAGTCTACTGGACGTCTTGCGCGTTGATACCATCAGCTTGGTCTTCTCGCCGTTTACTGCCCGACCCACTTTGGCAGACTCCTTTACAATTTGTTCAAAGGTGGCTGTTACAGCTCTCAGTGTTCGACCCATTATGTCGATGTCATCGGCGTAGACGAATAACTGTTGCTGTTGTTGTTGTAACAAGTATCTACATGTTTGTTGTATTAAATTAATCTGGTTCTGACTCCTCTGTTTCCAGGTTCAGGAAGGTTGCAATCTGTAACGGATGCGTCCAAAGAGATTCTGGAGACAGATGAGAGGGTTTAGCAGGACAGTTAAAGAGATGCAGCGCATCATGAGTTCCAAATCCGCATGCAGGGCAGGTGTTTGGTACTGCGCTGTCAATTCTGGCCCAATACGAATTGAGGCGGCTGCACCATCCTGATCTTAGTTGGGCTAAAACCACTCTCGTTTGTCTAGGCAGCTGTCGCTCTTCTGCTGCTATAGGTGGTGGGAGGACTCCAAGTACTGCATTAACACGGTATTGGTCCATTGCCTGGATCACTGCTCCCGTGTGAATGCTGGTAATTCCTGCACGATAAGCTTCACGATCTAGGGTGGGTACCGTTGGACCTCTCTCTCTAGATCATGTAGGTCTCTCCTTACGTGCCTGGGTGGGGGAATTCTATCCATAATATTCTGGCATGGATGATTCCTGCGATAACACCCAAGCAGGTTGTGACGATGTACGGGTAAGACCATTGCCTCCTCATGTAAATGGTCCACTGGCGTCATAAGGAGGCACCCTGTCGCAGTTCTCAGGGCGGCATTCTGGCAGGTTTGTATGTTCTCCCACTGCGTACCGCTTACATTCGCGTACCACACTGGCGCCGCATAGCTTACCACCGACCGATCTATTGCTTTGTAAGAGGTCAACAAGGTTCTTTCTTCTCTTCTTATCGCAAATAGCGGTGGCTTGTGCGGACAACTTAAATAAGCTATCGAACGTTACACCCAAAATTTTTGGGTAGTTAGTGGTCAGAAAGGTGGCTGTTACCGCTCTCAATGTTCGACCCATTATACCGAAGTCATCGGCGTAGGCGAGTAACATGTGTTGTGTTTGATGTACAGAGTGCCATTTCTGTTCACCATTGCGTCTCGTATGACCTTGTCCAGCAGGATGTTAAAAAGGTCACACGACAAACTATTACCTTGTCAGAATCCTCATTCGGTATTAAAGGGCTCCGAGAGTTGCTTTCCGAATTTAACGGCTGATCTTGTGCCTGTTAAAGATATCCAGCATAACCGAATTGATTTTGCAGTGATGCCAAACGCAGACATGGCTTTAAACACCTCTGAACGGATAGGGTTCTCGAATATGGCTTTATAGTCGACGAATAGGTGGTATGTGTCGATGTGTTTTTCGTGGGTTTTTTTTCCATGATTTGGCGCAGAGTGAAAATCTGGTCAATGTCAGAGTGAAAATCTGGCCAGGTCTGAAGCCGCATTGTTATACTCCAATAATGTCATTGACCATTGACTTCGGTCGTTAACACAGCACACTGGATAGCACACTTTATATGCGATGGGAAGGATACTTATTCCTCTATAGTTGGCGCACATATCGTCTTGTCTCCTTTTTTGTGCACAGGACACAGGATGCTGAGGTTCCAATCCAATTGGGCATGCATTCTTCTAGCCAAATTGTACTAATCAGCTGGTGCATGGTCCTGACCAGCATCTGACTACCAGTCATGAATAGTTCGGCTCATCGGCACCTACTGCCTTATTATTCTTCAGCCGATTGATTGCTATTCTGACTTAATCTTGGCGTCATCTATTATTGGTTCTGGGGTATCTTCTTCACCTTTACTATTTGATACCGGAAGTTTTTCAAAATGCTCCATCCAGATCCTCAACACGCTGTCTGTATCTGTCACCAGTTTTTTCCTTCTTTATCTCTACAGGAGGATGTGCCTACACCAAAGCCTTCGGTTTGATGTTTTACACGTTACTAGAATTTTCGGACTTCATTCTCCTGTACATCTCGATTTTTATAAAATACAACAATATTAAAAAAATCCAGATTTTTTTAAATGTAAATTTTTTTAAATTTTAAACCCTTTTTCAAGAAATTAGATTTTTTTTAAATCTTTAATTTTTTTCAAAATCTTTGATTTTATTTCATAAAATATGAATTTTATTTCAAAAATTTGAATTTTTGTTTAAAAAAATTAAATTTTTTATTTTTTGAAATTTTTAAAAATTAAAATTTTTCAAAATAAACTTTTCTGAAAATTTAAAAATAAAAAACAAATTTTTTGAAATAAATTTCAAATTTCATGAAATAATTTTCAAAGATTTTAAAACAAAAAATCAAATTTCTTGTAAAAATTTAAAATTTTTTGACCAAAAATTTAAATTTTTTGACCAAAAAATTCAATTTTTTTAAAAAAATTTTAAATTAAAATTTCTTGAAAAATATGTTTTTTTTAATTTTTAAAAATTATAGTTATTCGAAATAGATATACATTTTATTTGATTTTTTTTCAAAATCTTTTTTTTTTTTAATTTTAAAACCTAGGAATTAAAACACAAAATATGTTAATTAAATTTTTTGTTATTTATTTGAGCGGTAATTAAAAAATTATAATTTTATATAATACGAGTGTTTATATAAATGTAATAATAATAATAATTAAAATATCCCTGCAATTTCGTATTTAAAACTATGTATGTATGGGTGTGTGTGTATATTAGCCAAAAAGTTTTGAATTTTGTTTATAACCCTGGTTTATGCCAAATCGTTTACTATTGCAGATATGTGGTGGTGGTTGGTTAATGGGTGTATATATAGAAAAAGAGAAATGAAAAATACAATAACAAAATGAAACAAATAAAAAATAATAAAGAAAATTAAAAATTGTTACAAAAAAGCAAAAGTAATAAAAAATTTTATTATTTTTTTTTCTTATTTTCCTGTAAGGCTTTTTTGTGGCTGTTTCGGCACTTGTGATTGAATTAACTGTCACTGGTTTTTTTTTAACAATTACATAGTTATAAAAAATCTTCTTGTTCTTATTCTATATATAGAAAAAATCTCCTGTTACTATTTTAACAATGTGTGTGTGTATATATGTAATATAAAAAATCTATGTATGTGTAAATAAAAAAAATCCCTGGCTATTGCATATTTGGTCTATTGTTGGTTGTGGTTGTTTGTATATATGTGTGTGGAGGATAAGGTAATATATTGATGGGTAGGATTATCGCAGGATGGGATTGGGGGGTTCTATTGGTAATTCATAAAAAAATAGTATTTAATAAAAAATCACAATTTTTTTCTAAAATCTAGTTAACAAAAAAATTGTACTATTGCAGTGTATGGAGGATAATGTGTTGTGTGTGTGTGTGAGTGTGTGTGTTAGTTTGTAACTGTCTATTGAGGGGGGTTGTGTTGTGTTAGGGGGTGGGTGATAGGGTGTAGTGTCATGTGGTGTTTAGTTGTAATTAATTTTTTTCGATTTGTATTCAGAATACAGCAGTTAATTCAAAACAAGTTGGGTATGGGTGTGTATGTATGTGTGTGTTGAGGTTAAAGGTTAAATGTGGAGTAGTAAATAGAAATTAATATGGTTTTAAAAAATAAGATTTTTTTGAATTTTTTTCCCAAAAAATTTGAAAAAATTAAAAAAAATTAAAATTAAAAAAATAGTTAAAAATTTTATAATTGTTATATTTTTTATAAACGTTTTTTGATATTTTTTTCAAAAAATTTGATTTTTTTCAAAAAATTCGAATTTTCCAAAAAATTTGATTTTTTTATAAAAATTGATTTTTTTCAAAACAATTGATATTTTGTTCAAAAAATTTGAAATGCTTTCAAAAAAATTTGAATTTTTCCAAAAAATTTTTTTTTTATAAAAATTATTTTTTTTAAATTTTTTTTTTGAAATAATTTAATTTTACAAAAATTATATTTTTTTTAAAAAAGTTTTTTGATTTTTTTTTTCAAAAAATTTTTTCGATTTTTTTATTTTTTTCAAAAAATTGATTTTTTTTCAAAAAATTTGAATTTTTTTTCAAAAAAATTGATTTTTTTTTTCAAAAAATTGATTTTTTTTTTCAAATCTTCAAAAATAAAATATTTAATTATTTCGAATAATTTTAATCTTTTAAATTAAAAAAAATATTCGAAGTAAATATAAATTTTATTTGAATGCTTTTTTTTGATTTTTTTTTAATTTTCAAAAATTAAAATTATTCGAAAAAAAAATTTCTGGAAATTTGAAAAAAAAATAATTTTTTGAAAAAAAAACATTCAAATAAAATTTATAATTAATAATTATTTCGAATAATTATATTTTTTGAAAATTTGAAAAAATAATCATTTTTTTTTTTTCAGAAATTTGAATTTGAAATTTGATTTTTTTTTCAAAAAAAATTGAATTTTTTGTCAAAACATTTAAATTTTTCATAAAATTTGATTTTTTTCAAAAAATTTGAATTTTTGTTTCAAAAAAATTTGATTTTTTTTTTAATTTTTAAAAATTAAAATTAATTGAAATAAAAATTTCTGAAAATTTTAAAAAAAAATCAATTTTTTTTTAAATAAAATTCAAAGATTTTGAAAAAAAAATTAATTTTTTGATACAAAAATTCAATTTTAAAAAAAATCAAATTTCAAATTAAAATTTCTTGAAAAAAATGATTTTTTTTTTCAATTTTCAAAAATTATAATTTTTCGAAATTATTATTATTTCGAATAATTTGAAAAATTAAACAAAAAATACCAAAATTGTTTGAAATAAATTTCAAAAATTAAAAAAAAAATCAATTTTTTTTTTTATAATTTTCAGAAAAAATAATTTTTGAACTTTTTTTTTTTCAAATTGTTTGTTTAAATTTCAAAGAATTTGAAAAAAAATAATTTTTGAAAAAATTTAGAAATTTGAAATTTTTTTTTCCAATTTGTGTGTCGAAGCTTCTTTAAAATTAGTATGGTTTTAAATTTGTTGTTTTTTTAACTGATTTTTTTCAGACTTTTTTCAACATATTTTTCAAAATTTTTTTTTTCAAAAAAATTTTTTTTCGAAAATTTTGATTTTTTTTATATTATAATTTAAATATATAATTAATTTTTAATTATTAAATTTAATTTTTTATTTTTTTTTTTTTTTTTTTGGTTTTTGAAAAAAATGTACCTAAACCAAAATCCATATTAATTTCTAATTTGAGTTTTACTCCTTCTGGTTTGGGGGGCATTATTCTTGTTCTATAGACCTTAGAAAATTGAATTATTTTTTTTTTTTATAAATTGATTTGAAAAAAAATATTTTTTTCTATAGAACAAAAAAAAATTGTTACCCCTGATTTGAATATTTTCTTGTTATAGATCCTATCTATATGTGTGTAATCTACTAATATAACTATGTCTATAGCCTAAGAGGTAGGTTGGGTGGGTGTGTGTGTATGTGGAAATTTTGATTTCTGTGAAAATGGTAAAATTTTGTAAACCGGTCTATTGCATAAAATTGCAGGTTTCTTGTTACAATGGCGGTACGATTAGGGATAATAATTATAAAAATTGGAAAATACAAAATTCCAATTCCATAAAAATTATCCTTAATCAAACCTTTAACAAAAATTAACATTAGTACCACTACTAAAGAGCAGTGATGATATAGATGATGATAAAGGTGGTGGTGTTGGTGTTCATGGTGCTGCTGCCATATTCCGTACAATAATGGCAATGCTATGCCACAAAATCCAATGGACGATTGAAACCACCTTTACGATTCATATATTGACGATATTTACGCTTAAGGATTACATGTACTTCTCCGACATCGTTACCCTCTACCTTACGATTTTTCGTTGTGTCGAACGTACAGAAACCCATCGTTTTAAGCATTTCAATTTCTTCGGGGGATTTACCCTCTAAATCGGCTTCACTGATTTTGGGTCGTTCAGTGCGTGAAGTTGTGCCACCGCCACGGCGGCGTGATGATGTTGATGCTGAGCTAGAGCCACCACGGCCATAGGAACGTGATCTAAAGGGGGGAGGAGAAAAAAGGAGATTTTATTAATAAGGTAATCGAGAAGTAAAAAAGAAAATAAATTTGTAAAAAAATTATTTTGACATACACACCTTATTTGAAAAAAATGGTTTGGAAAAAAAAAATTAAAAAAATTTAAAGAGGTATTTTATTTTTTGAAAAATAATAAATAAAACATCACACCTATTGCTAGCTAATCAATTTTCTATTTTAAGTTACATTTCTAAATTAATTTTAAAATTCCTTTCCAGACCTTAAGGTGGCCTTACACCTCTTTATTGCTTGAGCTGATCCTCCAAGGTTTGTGTCCTTATGTTTCAATATTCAAATCACCATGTAGAAATTTATTTTGTTTTGCAATTTGCAAAAATTTTTATTATAAATCTTTTTATATATATAAAAAAAATCAAAAGAAATTTCAACATTCATTACAAACAGCAATGGTTTTTGTTTGTCCATACACATTACAGCAGAATTATATATAAAAACTAAATATAAACTCCTCAAGGAGAGATAAAGGATTAATTTTACACTCCTTTGCCTTCATCTTCGTCTTATTTTTTTCTCCTTAACAGCCTAAAAGTCCTCCAACACAAGGAAAGAAAAACCTCCTCCTTCAAATTTATGACATATCCTCAATCAGGGCAGCACGCAATTTCGTTGTCACTGTCGATGGTTGGGCTTGATTCAATTTGAAGACACTTTCAATAACGGAAATCTCTGTAGCTGTGGTGTTCATGCCGACAAATGAGATCCAATCGTTAACAACCATACCGGCAGCCAAAACCTCACTACCACGATTTACAGTGCCGGCGACAAGTGGCACTTGCAACAACGACGACAATTCATCTTGATCCTGAATACTAGTCTTAGGATGGACCATACCACCTTGATTGCTAAGCACCGTATACGATCCCACCAATGTATTATCGGCTATGGTTTGACGGAATACCTCAACATTTAAGACATCACCAATAATCTCCTCCGTTTCTTTATCCAAATCAGGATGTACCAAGGCCACATAATCATTACAGGCAATAACATTTCCCAAGGCTGACAGACGTTCCTCGACACGTTGTATCTTTACGGCATCCGGTAGACTGTTGCGCAAATGTTGCAATTCAACATCGGTGGTGGAGTTGGGTACCAACAAGCCATTACGATTACCCACGGCAAGGCGGCCAATAATGCGGCAACCGCCAATGCTGGCATGGACCACGGGGATCGTCTCCGACAATTCACCTTCGAAGACACTGTAAAAGGTTTCCGAACCACCAATGGCCACCAGACAATAGGAATTTGTTAATTTACTGAAGACGCCAATATCATCATTATTTTCGAACTGAACACGTAAGGCCATTGTGCTGTTGCTGCTCTTAATTACTTGGGGGAACACACGTACAAATATTTGAATCCAACTTCCGGTAGAAAACGAGATGTGTTTGTTACAAAAAAAACTTGTTAAATGCCACTCCTCTTTAACAATTCCGCAAAATTTATATATCCTTTTTTCTTTCTTTAATTTCTTTAACTTCTCAACTATTTCACTTCACGTGGTAATGCCAAACGATGAAAAATGCGGTGAAATTCAATAACAACAATGACACATTCACTGACAGTTCAGGTTCTCAACAAGAGAGAGAGAGAGCGGGAGAAAACACAACTTTGTGAAATTCCAACAAAAAAACACACACAAATTTCACAACAAAGAGAAGTGTCAAATTACAACGGCATTATCGACCAGGGTTGCATTTGACCAAAAGCCTCTTCTTCGTGCCGTTAAAATTTCCGTATTTAAAAAAAATCTCTTAAAACTAATTTTTGTTAAATTAGAAAACAATATACTTATCATTTCAGTTCGGTTTTGAATACACTACACTTTTTTATTCACCTCGAACGTCGTCTTCCACGGCCACGACTGCGACTACGGCTGCGATCACGCTCACGTTCTCTGTCCCTTTCCCGTTCCCGGTGATGTGGTGAACGTCTTCGTAGACTACGGCCGGAACTGCTGCTGGTTGTGGGCACAATTTCAACATCACTATCGGCACCGGTTGTACCAACACCACCACCCCTTTCACGTTCTCTGGAACGACGTTCACGTCGTTTTTTACGTTCGGTGCGTTCTTTCTCACGCCGTCTGTGGGCTGGGGAGGGACTACGGCCCATTTTTTCTTTTCTTTTGTGTGTGTGTTTGTCTTTTGTTTACCCTCACAAAGGGTGGTGGGTTTACTTGGTGGCCGTCGCTGTTTGTTGTTGTTGTTGTTGTCGTTGCTACCCTAGCTCTGCTCAGCTTTGCCGCCGTTTGTGGCCAAACGTTTACTTTTTGTTTATGCTTGTTCTGCTTCCGTTTCTTTTTTGTCTTTTGTATTGTTTCCAAACTGATTCCAAACTTTTCTATAGAGAAGAGACACAATTCATAGCCAATAAATTCACATTGCAAAATTCCCAATCGAGACTTTGCAATTTATTTATATGTATTTTCTAACACATTCCAACTTACCCTAATATTAATGCGTGCCCTGCAATAACTTCTATGACACCGGCATTAATTTTTTTAACAAAAAAACTTACTTAAAACTAATAAAAAATAGACTAAAAACTCCACGCGCGTCTTCGTCTTTTCTGCTGACTGTCTTGAATAAATTCCATAGCATTCTCTCTCTCGCCGTTGATCAGCTGTTGCATTGCTGTCATGTGAGTGTTGCCACTATGTCGGCGTTAATCTAAACGCAGACGTCGGCGTAAACAATACATGAAATGCGTTGCTAATTATGAAGAAACGTTTAAGTAAATGTTATTTTTATTTATTAATTATTAAATGTATATATATATATATATTTCTACGTACTGTCTTAAATAAATTACCTAGAATATTTTGTTTGCTCTTTTCGTTTTACTGTCAAATGAGAGTTTTCATTATTTGAATGTAAAGCGTTAAACTAAACGCAAACGCCGGTGTAAAAAATACCTGAAAGCATTGTAATTATGGAGAAACTTTTAAATAAACGTTATTTGTATTTATTATTAATGAATGATATATATATATACTTTTCTATTTACTGTCTTAAAACATTTCCTTGCACATTTTGTTTGCTCTCCTCGTGTTGCTGTAAAGCGTTAAACGCTGGCGTAAAAAAAAAATTAAAATAATCCACGACAATTAGAGAACCTGGAAAAATATTTTTAAAATCAGACATATATTTATCGGAATATTTTCTCTATAGAAAAAAAGTTCGGGCCCCTGAGGAATAATTTTTCTAATCCTAAATTTTTTTTTGATTCGTTCCAGTCCACTTTTATACGAAAGAACTACTATGCCAATATCAACAAGGTCATGTTGGAGTTATCCCGCACTATCTACTTTGCCATGCGCCCCCTGCTCTGTGGCCGCTCTTCACCGAACAATACCATATTTGCCTATATGCCAACCCATAATCGTTCGATTTTTAATTTCCTTCCTTGGCACTCGCATGAATTTCAGGATAATCGTAAAATTGCTATGGAACGGTTGCGCCAGGTCAAGGACCAGAGGGAAACAATAATATGCACGCTTTTGTGAAGTCCTCGAAAAATCGACGTTTATATCTGGGTTTCCAGATTTTAATACCCTATAGAATAATACATATAACAGTCCTACACGCTGGCAGTGTAAATACGCCTTTTAGAGACATACGTCGTTTGTTTAACGTAAAATTAAATTTATTACTCCATTAAATATAGCAAGACTATATTCCCTTCTGCATATTTCCTCTCTCTCTATTCTCCTCTCCCCTCTCTATTATTCAATTATAACAAAATAAATTAAATTAAATTATTTTTGTATTTTATTTTAGCAAAGTCATACGACTTCCTAATAAGCTTAACGTAAAACGCCGTGACGCTGACGCCCAGCTGTAACAATTGTGACGATTATATGCAACTCTGTTTACGTTACAAAAGTCAATCTGGTGTCAAATCACATTAATTCAACAAAAATTCTTTTAAAATAGCAATAGGCCATATAATTTTGTTTAATTCTATAATTTTTATCTTAAAAATGTGAATATTTTGTTCCATTTTCCGTAGTAATAATAAGATGAAATACAACTCTGTGCCAAGTGACAAAGACGCTGCAATTGACATATTGACGGCGTTCTAACGACACGGCTACTAGTTCACTCAATTCCTTTTGAACAATATCCCATCTTTTCATATCCCTTTCTTCTAAACAAAAAGGGAATATTGGCGTTTTGCATCTTACCTTCATTCGTAAACAAAAGAAAACAAAGCAGTTAATGGTCATTTTGTTTCAAATTCATGATTTATTACGCATTTTCACCTTGCCTTCCTTTATTCATTGCAAGTGGAACGTTTTTAATTTAGTTCGGTTTAAAAGGGGCAAAGGCGCGCAGAAGACGCTGGCTTTAACCAACTAACACTCGAAAGGATTGAACGAATTGGACACAATCCCATAGCCAAACAAACAAAAATCTTCATAAAATATATTTAGAACAATATTTAGGCTATAAATGTTACGTTTAATTGGAAATAAATGAGAATTCGTTAGGTAAGAACCAACTAACCTTAGCAATGTGGCGGGAAACTTGAAAAATATAAATGATTGATGTATTTATTGTTTACAGGTGATCTTAAGGTCCCGGAAAAAAGAATACAATGCCTGCCGATCCTGAAGAAGTTGCAGCATCGAAAACGGATGTCATTATTACCGGTCAAGTCTACACTCTTCCCCGGAACACTGATGATACGAATAAAATCCCACAAAATGAAACACCTGTGGCAGTAAAACGAAAACGTCGCCATCGCAGAGAAAACGATCCGAACGAGGAAAAAGAATATTTGGAAAAAATGTCCGTACGCGGTTTGGACACCCAGCTATATATGTACACAGTTGATGGTAAAACACATTGTTTGGTATGTGCCCAAAATGGCATTGAAAAGACGTTCAAGAATCGCTACAGCTTTCAGAGGCATGCCTATTTGTTGCACAGCGGCAATCGTAAAATCTTTCCCTGTCCAATATGTAATACGGAATTTTCAAGGCCGGATAAAATGAAACTGCACAAAAAGGCCAAACATGGAGACATGGAGCAAGTGAACACCACCAACTCCCTGGAAAAGGAAAATAATCAACCAAAGGATTACAATTTGAATAATAATGGAAATCAGCAAATAAATGTGAATATTGTTGTTAAGGAGGAAAACAAAAGTGCTGATCTGCCACAACAAATGGTGTTTAATAGCACATTAACCCTGGCTGATGGTACCCAGCTGCAATTGTCTGTACCAAATGTAATGCAAAGTAATAATAATGAGTTTTTAAAGGCCACAATTAAACAGGAGGATGTTTCCTCAAATGTGGATGCAAGCGATAAATCACAACAATTACAATTTACAACATTGGGAAATGTTTCATATCTACCACCACCTGCACACAATTTTATGGATTCATCACAAAATTATCAAATTTTAAATACATCTGAATGTAATGGCAACTTGCATCCATATACAAATAATAATGCAACACATTTTACTGACCAGCAACAACAACACCAAAGTTCGACAAATGTACACCAACCAGCAAATTCGCAATCTATAAAGATGGAAAATATACCACCACCCACCACAGTACCTTCAACTAATATCGAATTTTTAAAAATTCCCAATCACACTCAATTACAATCGGTTAAAATTGAAGATATCTCTTTGCTACCGAATTTCAAAATTGAAGATATCTCTGTCTTGCCAAATTTAAATACAATAACTTTACCAAACGGCTTACAAGCCATACAAATTGGTAGCCTACAGGTTAATCCAAATTTGGGTACATACACTATATTACCCAATAATCAATTATTGCAGATTAAACCTCCGGAAAATTTAGCAAATGGAGAAAAGGTTTAAAAAATTTTTAAACAACATTTTGTGTGTGTGTGCTGTTAGCATAGCACACACGTTCGTATGTGGTATTTAGAAGAAGAAACTAAATCGTTAGCTTTAATATTTTATTGTCGTCTTGCCTTATTCCGAATTTTTTTTCTTTCGAAAAATAAATTTTATGAAATTCATATATATGTTTTTAAATAAATGAAATATTTTTTTTTATAAAATGGTGTATAAATAATTTTGAATTTATTTTTTATATTTGAAGTTATTTTTATGTTGACAAAAATACGAAAAAGCTTGGTTTTTTAAAAAATAATTTTCAATATTTTTTTTTCATATACATTTTTATATTTTTTTTTAATAATTTTATATTTTTTAAAAATATTTTTTTAGCTATTTTTAAAATTATTTTCGACTTTTTTTAATTTTGATAATATACTGTCTATGATCTACACATAAAAAACACTTTCCAACTCTGTGTTAACAATCTAGCTGTCATGTTTACATTCCACTGAGTGGAATCCATGCTCTGCCGCTCTATATCTCTTAAACCAACTATATTTTCTCTTCTTTCAAATATGACATCATCTTTGTGGTTATGTGGTGTTTTTTTTGTTTTTCTAATTTGAATGTCATCTTCCTCCCAATAAATAATATAGTTGTCTCTTTTTGATTTCCCTATATTAAACAAACACACAGAGAGTAAAACAAGGGGGAAATTTACTACGACAGAGAGAGAGAGGGAGAGAGAACACATTACTTGTGTTCACAGTTTTGTTTGGCCACGGAAACAAGACCAAACAAGCAAATCGTAGAGATCAAACAGAAACAGTCGAAAAGTAAAACAGAACGAACGAAAATCAAACAAAATTGAAGGAGAAGACATTTTCGGGTTAAAAGCAAGTTGTCAAAAATAAGAAAAACAGGATTCATTGTGCAAACAAATAGAAAAACGCGGCGCGCAAAAGAAGCAAGAACAAAAACAAGAAAAGAAAACACAAAAAAGTAAATAAAAAAGACTTAAAGAAAATTGCCGGTAATCATCCAAACCAAATAAGAAATTCGTCTTCTTCTTCCTTCTTATAGTTATTGTGGGTATGTGTTTGTTTGCTTTTTTTTGATCTTCACATCTTATTCTTCTTCTTCTGGTGCTTTCAACAACAAGTTTTAGTGTATTTTGTGTTGTTGTAGTTATGACATAATCGGGCGTCGTCGTTGCTTTGACTTTGTATTTGACACAGTAAAACCAAAATTGGAATATGAAAATTATTGCCTAAATAAGAAAAGTGTTGTTTTT